GCATGATGGCATCTTCTGGCCATCTCGCTGCCCAGCGGGTTTTGAAAGCCTAAAAAAAATACGCATGGTCCACCAACCCTCGCTTCCGATGCGCCACGCCCATCAAAAACACACGTGGGTCTGTTGGCACACGGTGCAGACCACTCAATCAACCCTTGAGCCCAGGAATGCAGGTACAGTAAGTACATGGACACAAATAGGTAAATCCGGCCGGCAGATAAAAGGTGCGTAACTTTTTCCTGTACTCAACAAATTATATATACGTTTAGAGATATTAATAATGACTGCCCAGGCGCGTGTTTGTAAACATTGGGCCTGGCTCCCCTAATGTGTATATGCGACTGTCAGGTTTGTGTTTCCCATCCCAGCACTAAAATAAATAGGGGACGCGGGTGGCTTGTTTGAGTGCTGTGAATGCAAAGCTGGGGCACAAACAATAGTCAGGCAGAGCACTCTCCATCAGTCTGATAATTATAATCCCAAAGCCAGCTGTGGGCTTTCTGCCACGCAATCATCACCACCACACCTTTACCAGACCTCCCCTTCCTCAACTCCGTTGATAGTTACATCTTTAAGTATTCTTTTACAGATCCGAACGGCCGAACGGCCTACTGGGAGTGCATCTTCTCAGCAGCAGCGCTGGATGACTACAAGCAAACTCTGCACCACTTTTGTGTCGAATTGGTATCCGCATCGAAGGGGGTAATTTTCTTTAAACATTTGGCAGTTCACCAGCATTGTTTTAAACAAGCCTGACTGCTGACAAGCCACTGAATGTCGAAACCAGTCCAGAATTGTACTTGTATTAAACCGTGTGGCCGATGAGATTTGTAAAAAAACCCTACATTTTTACGCGGAGGGAAAGATACGGGATGGAGGCATCGTCTGCTTAGTTAGTTACCTATATTCTCTATAATGACGCTAATGATTACATTGAGCAGTGAGCGGGCCTTCACCAATCACCGACATATAGTAGTTTGGGACTACGCCTGGCCACTGTGATGCAGCGCGGCTGTTTAGCACCAGGCACAACACCTGTCCCTCGCCACTCTCGTCGGTGACCTGGGCACACAGTACGCCCGGGAATTCCACAGTGGCAGGCGGGCGGGCGGACGGAGCGTGAGGGATTGCCAGCATTCACACGCACGCCCGGCTCAGCATCTGCAGCCCGGCCTGTGCAACCTGCAGCGTGGAGGGAGCTGCTGCCTGCACCACATGCCAGGCTGCAACAGCAGCACCGGGGGCTTCCTCTTATCCCCCAACACGTCACAGTATCACTACCAGCGGTGGCGACGCTCCCGCCATCCCCTCCTTCGCTGCTGCACTGCACGTTGGTGCAACGAACACGGGACGAGAGACGCACCGTGCCCACGCGTTCTGCGATGGCACGTGGCCACATTCCTTCACGGAAACACGGCAGAGAGGCCCGTTAATTGCGTACGAATATTCATCCCTACACAACGAACGGACCTATCTGTGCAATTATCTCGAGTATCGGCACGATGGCGAACAACAGACGGCAGGCCGCCTGGCTGGCGCTCGCCTGCCAGTGACGCAGGGCGATGGTGCCCACGGCGCCCTGCGTGTACGTGCCCCACTGTCGCCGACTGTCAGTCCCATTGTCCCCGTGTTGATTTTGCCAGTGAAGCGCTGACACAGCCGCACAGAGAGAGTGTGTGTGTGTGGACGCGGGTCGCTTCCCTCTCCCTCTCCGCAAGACAAATGCCGTCCCACCATTCTGCCCGGGCAGCGTCTGCAATGTCTGTTGCACCCCCCCTCTCCTTCTCTCATCCGTCTCGCTTCACACCTCATTGCATATACACATGCACCGTGTGTGCTTGGGGGGCGGGAGGGTGGTATACGGCATGCGCAGCAGCTAGCCTGTGTTTAAAACACACGAAAGGGGCTGCCAAGACGGACAGCAAGACGATGGACGTTTGGTACAGCAAAAGCCATTTGACAGAGGCTGAGCGACTGAAGGGGAGCAGGAAGCGAGACGCGGTCAGTCACACGGGGAATGTGGCAGCATGTGCACTTACAGCTCATCATCGCCCGTGCACGTGGTGCACGCGTGACTTGGCGATACCCAGCTCAGGCTTATATGCATTTCACATTTCTATTGCACGGAAACACACTCGCTCCCCGCACACATACTCCAGGGGCCAAACCCATGGACCCACACTCCCTGCACGCTCTTGACGATATCCGCAGGCGTCCTGCACCCCCTGCACAAACCCTGCCTCACTCCCTTCATACAACGCCCACTACAAATGCCCTGCATTCACTGTGGATACACGCGTACACGGTGCACCCTCCCTGCACCCACCCGGACACCCTGCACTCCTCTCCCCCCTGCTCTGCACGCTCGCTCCCCGCACCGTCGATGAGAGAGGCTGCAACTGCGGTGACGCCATGGTGCAGGAATCCGGCACATCTGCGTGTCCAGCCTCGGAGCAGCGCCGAGCTCCACTCCCTGGACCTGCCCCGTGCGACCCATGCGGGCCACAGCAAGGCCACCGTGTTCACGCCTCGTCCCCGTGTCTACAGGGATCACGCATTGTCCCCGTGTCTACACAGATCACGCCTTGTCTCCGTGTCTACAGGGATCGCGCCTTGTCCCCGTGTCTACAGGGATCACGCATTGTCCCCGTGTCTACACAGATCACGCCTTTTCCCCGTGTCTACAGGGATCACGCCTTGTCTCCGTGTCTACACAGATCACACATTGTCCCCGTGTCTACAGGGATCACGCATTGTCCCCGTGTCTACAGGGATCACGCCCTGTCTCCGTGTCTACACAGATCACGCCTTGTCCCCGTGTCTACACAGATCACGCCTTGTCCCCGTGTCTACAGGGATCACGCCTTGTCCCCGTGTCTACAGGGATCACGCCTTGTCTCCGTGTCTACAGGGATCACGCCTTGTCCCCGTGTCTACACAGATCACGCCTTGTCTCCGTGTCTACAGGGATCGCGCCTTGTCCCCGTGTCTACAGGGATCACGCATTGTCTCCGTGTCTACAGGGATCACGCCTTGTCCCCGTGTCTACAGGGATCCCGCCTTGTCTCCGTGTCTACAGGGATCATGGCCTGTCCCCGTGTCTACAGGGATCACGCCTTGTCCCCGTGTCTACAGGGATCACGCCTTGTCCCCGTGTCTACAGGGATCACGCCTTGTCTCCGTGTCTACACAGATCGCGCCTTGTCCCCGTGTCTACAGGGATCATGGCCTGTCCCCGTGTCTACAGGGATCACGCCTTGTCCCCGTGTCTACAGGGATCACGCCTTGTCTCCGTGTCTACACAGATCACACATTGTCTCCGTGTCTACAGGGATCATGGCCTGTCCCCGTGTCTACAGGGATCACGCCTTGTCTCCGTGTCTACAGGGATCACGCATTGTCCCCGTGTCTACAGGGATCACGCCTTGTCCCCGTGTCTACAGGGATCACGCCTTGTCCCCTTGTCTACAGGGATCACGCCTTGTCTCCGTGTCTACACAGATCACGCCTTGTCTCCGTGTCTACAGGGATCACGCCTTGTCCCCGTGTCTACAGGGATCACGCATTGTCTCCGTGTCTACAGGGATCACGCCTTGTCTCCGTGTCTACAGGGATCACGCCTTGTCTCCGTGTCTACAGGGATCACGCCTTGTCCCCGTGTCTACAGGGATCACGCCTTGTCTCCGTGTCTACAGGGATCGCGCCTTGTCCCCGTGTCTACAGGGATCACGCATTGTCCCCGTGTCTACAGGGATCACGCCTCGTCTCCGTGTCTACAAGGATCACGCCTTGTCCCCGTGTCTACAGGGATCACGCCTTGTCCCCGTGTCTACAGGGATCACGCCTTGTCTCCGTGTCTACAGGGATCACGCCCTGTCTCCGTGTCTACAGGGATCACGCCTTGCCCCCGTGTCTCCGCGCTCGATGCCGTGTCTGTATCTAGGAGCGTGGAGACCAGTGCACCTGACAATACCCTCGGCATGCGAGCCCACTCACTGCGGGAAATAACAGCCTCCAGCCACGTGCATCCCACCTCCTCCTAACACATCTCCGCCTGCTCCAACCTAACACAACACAGCTTCTATAAAACCTACAAAAACACCTCTCCTACAATCTCTACCAAACACAACCCGACTTCAATTAACATGAACACACCTCTACGCCCCTACAAACAATACCTCTTCTGCTCCCATCTGTTCCAACACACCTCCTCCATCCTCCAACCCACAACCAAGGCACCCCGAGCATCCTCCCACACCAACCCCGCATCATCCCCACGCCTGCACGTTCGGCACGGGGAAGAGCCATCACGGCGCTGGTGGCGGAGTCGCAGCCAGAGAGCGAGACCGAGGTGTAGCTGGGGAACGGGGAGTGAGCGTGAAGGAGACGAGATAAACCGCATAGCAGAGGCCCCATGTGTCCGCCGCCATGCGGCAGGGCTTTCTCCCAGCAACGGATGAGAGCCGAGCGCCCTGCAGTCCCGAGAGGACTTCAACCCCCCCGCATGAAATGCAAGACCCAGCAGCAGCAGCACCACGATTACGATATCGCACATACCCAGAAAAATACAGCATCACACATCCATAAAACACAGCGCGAGCAAAACACATTGCCACACACTTCGCATCACACAGCAAAAATACACACACACACAGCCCACACACTTAGCATCACACAGCCCACACACCTAACGCCACAGACCACACTGACCCACACACCCAACACCACACACACCACGCCCAGCATCACACACACACTGTACATCACCACCCCACACATACACAAACACCACACACGGCACCGACACAAAGCGTGACATACACGGCACACACCCAGCGAAACACACACACACACCACGCCGCATCACACACACACGGCCACAAAGACACCATGACACACACACGGCCACAAAGACACCATGACACACGCACACACGGCCACAAAGACACCATGACACACGCACACACGGCCACAAAGACACCATTAAGCGCAGCGCCCACCCGCTCTGTAGAAGACCTCGATGTCGGCATCACTGCCTCCTCCCTCCTCGCCTCCATCGGCGGAGCTCATCTCGTCTCTCGCAGCCTCAGCGAGCCCGCGTTACCATCTTCCTCCTCCTCCTCTCGTTACCATCTCGTTACCATCCTCCTCTCGTTATCATCATCCTCCTCTTCCTCGCGTTACCATCCCGCCAGGGCTGAGAACGGGAGACGAGGTGGAGGAGGAGGCGGCGGCGGCGTGCGGGCGGGGCGCCATGCTCCCCTCCCCCCCCCGGCCTGGGCCGTAGTGACGCGAGTGCGGGCGCAGCCCGGCGCCGTGTGTCGAGTGCGCGGCCCCGCCGCACGCGGCCGGCACGGACGCGACCTGGAACACGGTGGACAGAGACGGGGTGGTGGTGGTGGGGGGGTCTGGGGGAGTCCTATCTGGGCTAAAGGTGGGGGAATTCAAGTGGGGTTTGGGTGGGGGGGGGCTTTAGAGTTGCTACCTGTCCGGGGTTTAATCCGGGCAGAATTGGTATCTGTGTTCGGGTGGCAGTAATTAATTGATTTTTTACCGTATTTTGTAGAAATGTATCACAGTAGACTGCACAGCTTGGTTAGACCTCAGCTGACTGAGCAATACAGTATGTCCTGATTTGATCTGTGGAAAGGTTGGTAGAAGAGGGGGGCCCTTCCTGATGGGAGGATCTCACGTGTCCTCGTCTCGGGATGGGGTCACTCAATAACACTCCCGACTACATCCCAAAATACCATGGTCCACCTTTACACGATTACCAGCTTTTCCATGTTCAAGTAAAAAAACACTGACGGCTGGTAAAACGAACCCAGTGATGTATGTGGCCAGGGTAGAGTTGCAACTATGAGGCCTGTCGCGTCACCACGTCCATACACCTCCGTGACCTCTACAAATCGCTCCGTGGCCACGACCGTCACCTGCACCTCACCTCACCACAGGTGTCATCATCAGTCGGCAGGCCGTGGTGTATGTGGCGACCTTCACTACACAGGGGCACGAATTGTTCGCTCACTTGAGGGCATTCAAAATTACCAAATAATCAGCCCTTATGGAATGCTGTATTGTCCTGGAGTTGCCCATTTAGCCCACCTTCATGAATGGTCAGTATGGAATCAGACCTTACACCGGGGACAGTGGCCACGGGGCAAATGGAGACATTGACCACAGCCAAGACGCTCACATGGAGCAGCCAGTATCCGTGGAGCAACTCGGCTCGGCATGAGCCACACCGTCACCACCAGGGGCGGAGCCACAGGGGGGGGCTGGGGGGGGCTGGGGGGGGGCTTGCCCCCCTTGAAAAAAGTCGGTAATCGGGATAACCGGATATCCGGCTGCTGCAAAATGCAGGCTGCCACCTTGTGCTGCCCTGCAGGCTGCTTGAGCGGCAGCCTTTCGAACTTAGCCACGTCAGCGGCTCCGACCTATTAATAAACTCCGCGTTCAAATCCAATAGAATTTGTTTTATACATTTGTGGCCCCCATTGGAAAACATAAACACACTGAGATATCTCAGAATATTGAAGTCAGCCCCCCCAAAGTCAAAATCCTGGCTCCGCCCCTGGTCACCACTAAAGATAGCTCGGCACCAGTCACATAAAGATTCCTATCCGCCATGCAGCAGCCCTCAATAAACACGACCCTGGGCACGTGAGACACTTGCAGAGACCCGCACTGGCCGTGCCCTTCCACAAACAAGCAGGGGGCAGGCGAGGGGGGGCGCACGCTCGATTAAACACGACCACGACAGCCAGGGCCGGAGTGTGATGTGTGGCATGTGTGAGCACCAGACACATTGTTGTATCAAAACGTTTCACCTGGATAAGCCCTTGAAATGGAACACCCTCGTTCGCAAGGGAGTGTGTCCAGGATCAACCAAGTGAGATGAGACAAGACCAAGTTTCCCTGAATTCAGGCAATATCAAACATTTCACAAGCTAAGCAGGTGTTGAGCTTGGTTTGTATGTTTGGGATACCAGATGTCAGCTTGGGTTGAGTGGCTGTGAGAAGACAAGGAGATGGCTTTACAATGGATTTTTTAATTAATGTTTGCGGAATTTTGTATTAATTACCCCGTTATGTGCCAGTTTTCTCTGGGTTCTCTGGTTTCCTCACACATGAAGCCACACTCACAAGATGAATTGTCCAATACCCTTAGGACATATATATGAGAAAAACAAGTCCTCAGGCAATAGATTCACCACAAGCGAGTGTGAACTCGGTTGGGCCAACGGGGGCATTTGGTGGGGCAGGGACCATGCCAGCAGCGCCCCTGAGCGCTGCTGACTCACCAGACTCACCACAGACTGACCACAGACTCACCGTAGACTCACCGCAGACTCAGACTCACCACAGACTCACCACAGACTCACCGTAGACTCACCGCAGACTCAGACTCACCGCAGACTCACCACAGACTCACCACAGACTCACCGCAGACTCAGACTCACCGCAGACTCACCACAGACTCACCGCAGACTCAGACTCACCACAGACTCACCACAGACTCACCGCAGACTCACCACAGACTCAGACTCACCGCAGACTCACCACAGACTCACCACAGACTCACCAGACTCACCACAGACTCACCGCAGACTCACCACAGACTCACCAGACTCACCACAGACTCACCACAGACTCACCAGACTCACCACAGACTCACCACAGACTCACCGTAGACTCACCGCAGACTCACCGTAGACTCAGACTCACCGCAGACTCAGACTCACCACAGACTCACCACAGACTCACCGCAGACTCACCGCAGACTCAGACTTACCACAGACTCACCACAGACTCACCGCAGACTCAGACTTACCACAGACTCACCACAGACTCACCAGACTCACCACAGACTCACCGCAGACTCACCACAGACTCACCAGACTCACCACAGACTCACCACAGACTCACCGCAGACTCACTACAGACTCACCACAGACTCACCGCAGACTCACCACAGACTCACCACAGACTCACCGTAGACTCAGACTCACCACAGACTCACCAGACTCACCACAGACTCACCGCACTCACCACAGACTCACCACAGACTCACCGCAGACTCACCACAGACTCACCACAGACTCTCACCAGACTCACCGCAGACTCACCGCAGACTCACCACAGACTCACCGCAGACTCACCACAGACTCACCGCAGACTCACCAGACTCACCACGGACTCACCGCAGACTCACCACAGACTCACCACAGACTCACGACAGACTCACCGTAGACTCACCACGGACTCACTGCAGACTCACCACACTCACCAGACTCACCACAGACTCACCGCAGACTCACCGCAGACTCACCACAGACTCACCGTAGACTCACCACAGACTCACCGCAGACTCACCACAGACTCACCACAGACTCACCGTAGACTCACCGCAGACTCACCACGGACTGACCGCAGACTCACCACGGACTCACCGCAGACTCACCGCAGACTCACCACAGACTCACCGTAGACTCACCGCAGACTCACCACGGACTGACCGCAGACTCACCACGGACTCACCGCAGACTCACCGCAGACTCACTGCAGACCCGCGGTGTCAGCAGCAGCAGCAGCCTCCAACAGCCCAAATGACCGAATTCCTCGCGCTCGCGATGTGTGCTGGACGAGGCCATCAACCCCCCCCACCTCGCGTGGCCGGCACCGCGACACGACAGCCGGGCCACGACGTCGCGAGCCGGCACGAGACCGCGGGCCTCGGCCGCCCCCTCGTGGCCACCGGAGCTGGGGGGCCCCGTTGCTAAGAGACTCGGGGACCCCGTTGCTAAGAGACGCGGGGACGCTCAGAACAGCAACGAGAAGCGGCGAGGTCTTAAACCGAAAAGGCCGTCGGCTTTGCTCGACAAGACATCGGGAGGATAAGAGGCGGATAAACAGGTGGGTGACAGGCGGGGGAAGGGAAGAGGCAGGCAAGCAGAGAGAAGCCCTCGTCCGAGGCGCCGCTCGCGCCCCCACGCGGTGCAGAACAACGAAACGCCGCGGCCGTTGGAAGCCGCTCGGGTTCGGGCCCAGTCGGTGAGGGTCCCGCTCCTAGTGGGGGTACGGTCCTTAGGGTCTCGGTGATGAAGTAACTCTTCTGTAACGAAGCTCCTAGTAATTGAACAGTTGTTCAATATATGGGGGGGGGGGGGGGGGGTCTTCTGTATCGAGGCCGGTCCCACTCTCTGGGGTCTCTTAACTGAGCCCGGCCTTCACGAATTGAGGTCGCAATCGTTGGGCGCCCGATAAATCGGCAATCCTAATTTGGAGTCAACGTTTAGGGTACTATTAGTTTAGGGTTCCATTCGATAGGATTTTATTTTAATTGGCAATATAATGTACAGCCCCTTTTTCAATCCATTGCTGGATAAAGGCGTCGTCCCCACGACGTGCCGGTCGTTTTACCACACTTGACCATACTTCACCACGCTGGTGAATGCAGGTTAGTACAGGGGAACCCCAGGACCGGTTCAATATATCACCCGCCAATGACGTTAGCCGTGGCTGGGAATCGAACTCAGGTCGCCAGGCTCTCAGAATAGTTTAGGAACTACTGTGCCACCACTCCCCCCCCCAGGCATTTGATTAGTCCTGGTAAAGGGGATCGCGGTCAGCGGGGTTGGTGGGGAGCTGTGGATGGGCCCTCTGGCCTCTCTGTTCGTCAAGCAGGCCCAGCGTCGCGCACGTGAGGCGCCTAACACAGCCACAGTCCGCAGAGCCTGCCCGTGGCCTTCACAATGCCGTGAATTAAGTACTCATTACTCATTAATGAGCCACCAATTATTGTCAGCTACCACTGATTAACCACTATCAATTCATTACCACCCCATTAACGGTTTAATTAACCGTCATTAAGTATCCACACTCAATAAATAAACTTACCACTTGTCATTAACAGGTGGACGAGGCACTTGGCATATCCACCAGACAGTACACACAGCCAGCACGAGTAGCACACACAAAATACCCAGCACACACAGTACAAACACCCAGCACACACATTACAGACACCCAGCACAGTCACGCATGATAGTTACCCAGTACAAACACCGTGCACACACAATACGGACACCCAGCATACACAGTACCAATACCCAGCACAGTCAGCCATTATAGTTACCCAGTACAGACACCCAGCACACAGTACAAACACCCAGCACAGTCAAATATTATAGTTACCCAGTTTTAACACCCTGCACACACAGTACAAACACCCAGCAGTCACCCATTATAGTTACTGTGTACATACACCCAACACACACAGTACAAACACACCCAGCACACACAGTACAAACACCCAGCAGTCACCCATTATAGTTACCCAGTACAGACACCCAGCACACAGTACAAACACCCAGCATAGTCAAATATTATAGTTACCCAGTCTTAACACCCTGCACACACAGTACAAACACCCAGCAGTCACCCATTATAGTTACTGAGTACATACACCCAACACACACAGTACAAACACACCCAGCACACACAGTACAAACACCCAGCAGTCACCCATTATAGTTACTCAGTACAGACACCCTGCACACACAGTACAGACACCCAGCACACACAGTACAAACACCCAGCACACACAGTACAGACACCCAGCACACACAGTACAAACACCCAGCACAGTTACCCATTATAGTTACTCAGTACAGACACCCTGCACACAGTACGGACACCCAGCACACACAGTACAAACAGTACAAACACACCGCACAGTCACTCAACACAGTCACTCAGCACAGACAGGTAAAGGCCTCGTACACAATAAGTTGTACACGACAATGAACTAGAGTGTCGTGGACCCTGGACTGCCAGGGTCATGGCTCCTCAGTGTCTGCGTGTTCATCCAGTGATGATCTTGTGCGCACGGATAATCGTCCCAGTAATCCAGTGTCATTTGGAGCGCGCTAGGTTGGGAGGGCCCCTACGTAATCAGACACATTTTCATCATGACTTGATGTGATCTTGTCACGCTTGTTTCCCTTAGGCTGCGAACCTGTACACCTCTGGGCGGCGCAGCTTTGCAGTCGTGCATGCAGTGAATGCAGAGCCTGTGGCACATTTGATTAATGTGATAATCCGTGTGTTCACGCAGACAATAAGGAACGCGACCACCATGCCCCCTCCCGAGGAGATGTACTGTGCGCAGCAGATCCACGTGCCTCCGGAGCTACCTGACATCCTCAAGCAGTTCACGAAGGCGGCCATCCGCACGCAGCCACGAGACGTGCTCACCTGGGCCTCCGCGTACGGCAGCTGTCATCTCTACACACCACAATACACACCTTCGTCATCTACATATATTAACCACTGCACTACACAAAGACAGAATAGCCCCTGTATAGCCTTAAACAGACTGTTGGGGCAAGTGCTGTTAGTGAGCACCTATGTAGTAGTCCGGACACGGCAGACAAGCAGATGGGTGGCCAGCACCACGCCAAGCCACTTTTGTCTCCCCAGTGCTGATGCTTACACACCGCACCAGGTAGTCATCATTAAGGCCGAGTCAAACTAGGGAAGGCTCAGAACTGGTTTAGATAATTGTCATTGGTGTTGACCGTGAGTGGGAATTGAACTCGGCTCGCCCGTTTTGTAGTGCAGCGCACTAACCACTACACTACCGCTCCCCACAAAGAATGGTATACATACCACTATGCTCCACCACACTATACAGCACACCCCTCTCTTAACACCACAGCACACCCCACTACACTATACACCAGTTAATATATCACTTGTATCTGGTGTTAGCCATGGCAATGAATCGACTCGAGTAACGGGTCCATATCGCGATAAGATAATCACCACGTTACCCCATACCCACTAAACACATTCAAGGACTACTTCTCTCCACCCATGTACACAGCAGAACACACACCACTGCATCACTAGGCATACACCACTTCATCACACGTATCACTCAATGAGCACGGAATGCCGTGACATGTTTTTGTTTAATATAAAGTCTGGATTTTTCTATCCTGTAAATATAATCAATTGTATCTTCCGAGCCCCTTTCTTCATTGACGACAGACCTCTTCTGAATACATACTGCACCTGCGCTCTTAACTGTTGGCACCCGCAATTTCATGTGCCTGTGTGCCCTGCCGCACAGGTCAAGAGTCAGTGATTTTCTGCTCAAATCACCATTGAGTAGGTGCTCATCTCTCCTCGATATACAGCCCTGAGCAAGTGGTAGAAATTCCATATTAATATGAGGGGGTGAGGACACCCATAGATAAACCACTGTTGGCCTCCTTTCAACGCATTGCATTAAACCCTGAAGGAATGATGGGCTAAGTTAACACCGAATCTGGAATTGAACCTGGAACCTTCCGATTAAGAGCCGCTCGCTCTACCTCAGAGCCAGCTGGCCTGTTGCTGTGCAGATACTTCCATGCAAAGGTGCGGGGGGAGCCACTGCCTGTGAAGGAGCGTCTGGAGATGCCCGTGGCTACGCAGAGAGATGACACCGGCCTCACTCCGGGCCTTCTGCGCACCCTACACACCCAGGTGGATTGTCCAACACAGACACGTTCACAGAGAGCTCCACATAGCCTCTACACATCAGTCTGTTGCCTCTTAATTGCGCTTCTATCGCTAGTACTGTGATTACTCTTCCCATGAATTTTGCTAATTGATTCCTCCACCTATGTGAAGGACTCGGTCTACCAGACTGACTGTGTTGTCTCATCCACGCTGTGTTCAGTCACCATAAATAACTGTAGGTCACAACACTTCTCTTCCTGCTTTTTCCCTCTCACTGCTCAACTTTGGAATTCCCTCCCATCGTCTTTTCCCTAGCTCTTATAATAACGTTGCTCAACACAAGAAACGTATTAAATATATATTTTTACAACTTCTATGGTGCTGTTTGTGACTGGCTGTTTGACGTTTTGGGCCTGTGCTCAGCAAAGTGCATAAAACAAAGTAATCATCTGAGTCATGTGTAGCACATCAAGTGATGGCAACAGTTTAAATTCCACAATGAAACATGTCTTCAATTACAGGACCTGTCACCTTGCTGTGTACTCACACCAGAGCTGGCTCATCGTACCCAGATTTTCATGAGTTGATGGGTGTCGTTTGCAGATGGACAGCAATGAGTGGGTGGCCCGTGAGGTTCTGGAGGAGCGGTGGGTGGCCCTGTGCCTCCCCGTCGAGCAGCTCTCCAGCCTGCTGGCCCTCGGCTCGTTTGGGCCAAATGTGGAATGGATCAAGTTTTTCGCCCTGGCCTGCAGCTCTCTTGGAGGCGTAAGTCTCCCCACGGGGTAGCACAAGCCGCACACACGAGGGGTTGAGCGTCGCGCTAGCGTGCCCTCCGAGCAGACGCCTTGCAGGCCGCCACGGGCGCCGGCTGGTCAGTCTGCCACGCACACTCCTGTTAATGCACGACACGTACCGTTTTTGCGCATGAACCAGACGCTGGCCCGTGCCCTACAACACGCTTGCGAGCTGCTAAGCACGGACCCAGAGGGCGGAGCGGCGCGTGTGCCTGTGAAAGTCTTCGAGCAGCTCTACTCGTACCTGGCCGAGGTGGATGGGGACATTCCGCATGCGCACGTCGATGCAGTGCTGCTCTACCTGCAGGCTCAGGCGTCAGTACCCTGTGCACCTGGGCTGTGTGGCACCGCCGCATCTCATGCCAACACCACGGCTCCTGTTCGGGGAGGGGAACTTCACAGTCACCGGCTTGTCGCCTCATTCTGTTTTGGCTCACAGTTAGAGTACTGTGCTGTCAACTCGGTAACCAGAGTTTGATTTCCCCGCCACGAGTAACCATCAGTGGCAAGTGGTACTTGAATCGTTCCTGGACATTCCTTTCGCCAAGCCAGCGATCAGTGTGGTCAATTATAGTCAAACAACCCCCAGGGCTTCATCCAGCAGAGGTGATAATGGGGCTGTAATTCTCTTTTTGTTACTGTTATAAAAAAAAATGATGTTTATGTTAACTACAGAACCTTCCACCACGACACATCACTGTGTATATAATATACAGTACTCCACCTAAGGAATACATGACATGCACATAAACAATTGTCGGGACTGTAGCATAGTAGTGGAGAAAAGGCTGGTTAATATACACAAGTAGCAGAATACCTTCATGGCAAGGCAGCTGGTTATAAACACAGTGGACTGTGGCCAGTAGTGAGGAGGGGGCACGAGTGAGCGTGAATACATGTGAATCAATGCTGAAGTCACATGAATGCTCTAAACCTGTGTTTCCCAACCTCTCTGTATCCGTGCACCACTGTAAACTCTCAAGAAATGTCTGGCAACCCCAGTGCACCGATAGCATAATTTTATAAATGAAAACTCTAAATCGTAGCATCTGCAACAGTTCCGCGGACCATTTCCCACGACGTTGCACAGCGCCGGTGGTTCTGCCGACCACAGGCTTGTGACTGCTGCTCTGAACCCCGCTCTCTCATTGATTAATCAGGGCCTTCTAGTGAATGTATTCAGACTTCAGGCTTGAACATATGGGACATTCCTACAAGGGATATGTGTAATACACGACATTGTTCAATAGGGACCGAAGCGTGTGTACCATTTTTGTGCAAATCATGCAGTCTATTAATATTTCAAATGAATTACTTAAAAAATGTATGCGCTAATATTAAATGAAATAGTTTGGTTATTTGATGCATTTTTTAAGTGTCATGCATTACGATTAATACATGGACAGTCCTTTCATCTGCAGACAGACTCTCCCCCCACTGTATCACTTCCGATTAGCACGGTTGGCTATGTATGGTGCAAAAGAAGTTCAACATACATACAGAGTGGAATGTTCACGACTGGCACTGCAAGTGTGTAAACAGGAGATGAGGACCGATAGCTCAATGCTCACTTGAGCAGAAAGTCATCTTGGCTCTGCCTCGCCTATGGCATCGGTGCACTTGCGTCGCCGCTCCTGCACGCATTCTTTGTAATAACTTTAAAAAAAAACAAGAGATCCGTTTCAACCGCATACAGTAAAACATGGCTATGAATATGCTGTCATCACTAGGTACTGACGAACCGCGTGTTTACATTCCCTACGGGAAATATGTGCGAGTGAGGTGGTGGCGCCTCATTATGCATGCACCGTGCACCGATGAGATAAGGCTGCATTTCTGCACGAATATTGCGTGTCTTCTGTGTGCCTTTTTAGAGACAGGCAAGACGGACTGGTGATGCCGCGGAATCTGAACCAGGCTGACTTCCCTGGCCTAACCCCTGCCTGACCCCCGAAACCTGGCTTCTGCCTGGTCACTCCAGTGCTCACGTCCGACACAAAGACCAATCGAAGACCAATCACTACCGTGGACCACCTCTGCCTCCAGAACCGCTCTCAGTTTCCCTGGTAGAGCCACTTGCAGGTGTCCACCCAAGACGCTCTTAGCACTCCATCCAGGTCCCCATGCTCTGGCTAGGAGCTCTCTCTCTGTCAACACCTCGTGTGATGGACGGGGCTCGAGTGGCAGGTTAGGGTGACAACGGCCTTGCTCGGATAGTCAAGAAGTGATATAATCTTTATCATCAGTGTTTTGCTATGTTTCATCAATAAATGCCGAACGTGATTAATGAGTCAATACTCATTCATTCTCCCAGTGTATTATTTTATGTAAAACCGTCCTGTTTAATTGGGATTCGTGTGAAGAGATGGAGGGATGGAAGAAAGGAATGGAAGGAGAGTGAAATACGAATTATGGATGTAAGCAGGAGGAATAGAAGAGGGAATAAGGGATGTGAGGCGAGATGGATGGAAGACAGCCATAGGCGGAGTTTGGAGGGCGCAGGGGTTCGCTTTGTCCCTCACATTAGGAATCACGGGTGCATATAATTTATTTTTAATCTTAATTGCAAACTACTGAAAATACATTCATAAAGGTGTCCAGTTTGGGGAGAGCGTTGCCCCCCCCGTGCCCCCCCCAAGACAGCAGAAGTAAGGCATGGAAGTAGGAAGTTTTGGAGGCTGTAGGGAGAAATGTAAAGGGAGAGAGAAGGAATGGAATGACGAAAATAGTGATGGAACGGGATGGATGGAGGGAGGGGGTCGTAATCTGTGTGGGCCACCCATGTGTGCACATATATCCCGGCCGCTGTGCTTCTTCCACGCCAGAATCATAGACGTGACCTCCCAATGGCCACGTGCGTCACGCGTGGAAAGTGTCGCCCCTGTGCCAAGGGTGGCCACGGCTCAGTGTGAGGGGCCGGGTTCCGCTAATGCGGGACAAGAAAGTCAGGCCCTGCTGAGCTCGCATTATCTTTAGATTAACGGTGGACAAATCTGCTTACGAGTAGCACTAGCCTCCCTGACAGCATCCAGTATTTCCCCACTCCCCAGGCAGGGACAAGAGGTTTCTCCCCGGATGAATGTGATAAGAAATCGCGGGGCATCTGACTGGAGGTATGTACGGAGATGCCTGGGCATCACAGAGAGGGCCTATTCAGGTCAGAACAGGGCGAGGGAAGCCCTGTGGCCATAACTCAAAGATCAAGATAAATCATGGAAAGGAGCCTGGCACAGGGCCAGATTCAGACAACTGCTACTCACACAATCAGGCAGACGGACACACGAATCTCTCATCATCATCAGAACAATCATCAGAGTCGTCATCGTCGGATGAGGAGGGGAGTGAGACGAAGCCCTTCAGGTGCACGCTGTGGCGCGGCAGGGACTGCAGGACGGCCATCCTGGGCGCGTGCGAGAACAACAACAGCGTGGCGCTGCGCTGGCTGCTGGGGCAAGGTGCCACGTGGGGCGACGTGAACGCGACAGATGCCAACGGCAGGGTGAGCAGCAGTGAGCACCACTGCCACTGCCATCACACAGCTGAGCGCCGTGCCTGTGATCCAGCACTCTGGAGTCAAAGGCTAGTGCAGTGGTTCCCAAACGGCCCCGGTGAAGTTGCACTGCCTGTGCACTCGAAGATAGCTACGCCACAATGCAGGTGGCATCGTTGTCTTTGTGCCCGTGTGCCCGCGGTCCACACAGACGGGTCTGGCCGTGGCGAGCAGTTGCGGCTTCGCGGGAGTCGTGTCTGTGCTTCTGCAGTGTCCCCTGGTTGACGTGCATCTTCCTGACAACGAGGGCAACACTGCACTCATGCTGGCGGTGCAGGCAGGTAACGTCGCACCACGTGTGCAAAACCCTCCAAGGGGAGCGGACGGGCAGATAACATCTTGGAGTGGTAGCATAGCCCAGTGGTAGAGCGTTCGCTGTTTAATTGCAGGGATTTGGGATTCAACCCTGAAAGGCCGCCCTGGTTAAAACCACGGTGTGTATTTACCATTTAAATATAACTTGGCATATGCTTCACAGTGGACGTCAAAGATCCCGTGATGTAAGTCTAAGAGTTATAGGCCATTGTGTGCTGGTGTCAAGGTTAACATTTTAAACCTTGCAAATGTATAACTTAGTTTGAAGAAACATAACACGTAGGCTTTTGCGACCAATATTATCCATAGAGGTTTTTTGGGTTACATCGTGTGAATATAAATGTGTCGTTAAACCCGCCACCACCCAACACAGCCAATTAGTAAGGTTTTTAAATGCTGTCGGTTTACTCTCCAACACCCTGTTGTGCTGAACTAGTCACTAATTTGCATGTTTTGTTTACGTGGCAAACCTTACTAATTCGCAGTGTCGGGTGGTGGCGGGTTTAACGACACATTTATATTCATGCGATCTCACCCAAAAACCTCTATTATGGAGAAACATTGCAACCGTCGGCACCCACCCACCCACCCCCTCCCTGCCCTGCCTTTCCTCCTGTGAAATCTTGGCAGGACCCTCTTGAAAAATCATCATGAGAATTCGTTAGACTTTCCTGCGAGACCCCCCACCACTCCACTTCCTAAGAGGGCCAGAGAGGCAGGTAACGTGAGAACAACAATTCACGGAAACGTGATTTCTGGACAGCAGAAGGCACGATTGGGAGCACCAGATCGGGCCTTGCATGCAACATTTGACCTTGTTATCAACGTGAGTTGAGTGAGTATCCGTCAACAGAGTTTGTTTTGTTTGAGTTGGCGATGACTCTGAGTGGACTACAATCATCAAGCGTGATGGCAACTAGCACTATTAAACTTTTTATTTTTTATTTTACCAGATAAGGCCCACTGAACTTTACAGCTCTTTATCAGAAGCGACCTGGCCACCAATTATAGCTCAACGAAGTGGCTTATCACGTCGACATTTACAGAAGCCAAATACTCTACACCAACCTTTTTTAGATACTGTACCCCTTGTTGAATTACGTTTCAACCGAGTACCCCCTTGCCTGACCCAACATGGTTCTGCCAAATAAATGTATGATCAACGAACGTCAATATTTAACCACTTGTCCATTTTGTGAGATATCCTAAATAGCGAGTAACTGTGAGAGAATATAAAATCAACGGACGCTCTGCATGCGTGACGTAATTTATTCGTGCTCGCTGGTTACTCTTGGAAACCGCATCTTTTATATCGTTTTAGGTTACCGTATGGATTCACATTTTATCGTAGTTATTTTATATTGGCAGATTCATACGTGATTATTCACCAATGACTCTCATGTATGATGTCATTTAACACATTTATAAATCATCTCACGTACCCCCTGGGACAATTGCCACGTGCCACCAGGAGTCCGCGTACCCCAGGGTGAGAACCACTGCTCTACACTACCGAGCTGAGCCCACGGCACGACCGGTTCACCGACGGGGATCGAGATGGCAACGGGCTCGGTGTACAAAGTCTTTACCGAGTTCACCGGGTGACCGATCAAACGAGTAGAGGGCGTCGCCATACACTATAAGTCAGCAACAGAACGACAAATACGTTGTATTCTGGATTCATAGTTATTAGGAATCATCAGTCATGAAAGGCCTTGAGACCCCGGTGAGCAGGAGCTTTATCGGTCAGGATTTGATAAATGCATTGTGGTACGTATAAATAACATCTGTAAACGTGATCATATTTACGGGTGGTGGAGGGATTAACGGCAATCATTTTGGCATTAAAACTACCACGCGGCTGAGCCCAATAAAAATGAACATGGATCATGATGTTGACCAGGAGCACCGACGTTGTAAAGTGAATGGCCACCATCGTCTTCTATGGAGGTTGTTGCCCGAGCGGAATGTCCCCATGTCGTCCGCCAGGCGGCGCTGTGAGCTAGGAACGACGCGTGGCCGTGAATCTGCCTCGGTCTCGTTCGGGCGACGGTGCCAAATGGGGTGAGGTTGCGGCGCGTGGCTCGGGGTTAAGTGGGTTACGGTTGCATGGGTAAGGGGTTCACGGTGAATTGAAAGATGAGCGGTGCTAATTGACAATGTCGCGGTCTCTCATCGCTGAAGGCTTCTCCGCTCCCCAGGACTTAGAAGAAAACAAACACGCGAGTGACGCTCTCTCTCTCTCGCGTAGCCAGAGCAGAAACAACGCAGCGAAACGCATGTTGATGTTGCTAAAATAGAGTGATCTGTGACCAAACCTCACCGCATTATACCTCGACACCCCCCGTCTCACCGCCACAGCACAAGCCACCAACATTGCTCATGCTAACCCTCATTCCACCACAAACCTCACTCACAGCACCACAGCCGCTCACTGCTCCAATATCAAAACACTCGCGGCACGCCACGCTCACCCCCACTTTCACCAGGTCTCATCCTACTCACCAGGTCTCATCCACACTCACCAGGTCTCAACCACACTCACCAGGTCTCAACCACACTCACCAGGTCTCAACCACACTCACCAGGTCTCAACCACACTCACCAGGTCTCTCCCTACTCACCAGGTCTCTCCCTACTCACCAGGTCTCATCCACACTCACCAGGTCTCAACCACACTCACCAGGTCTCATCCACACTCACCAGGTCTCAACCACACTCACCAGGTCTCAACCACACTCACCAGGTCTCATCCACACTCACCAGGTCTCAACCACACTCACCAGGTATCATCCCTACTCACCAGGTCTTAACCACACTCACCAGGTCTCTCCCTACTCACCAGGTCTCAACCACACTCACCAGGTCTCAACCACACTGCCCAGGTCTCAACCACACTCACCAGGTCTTAACCACACTCACCAGGTCTCTCCCTACTCACCAGGTCTCATCCACACTCACCAGGTCTCAACCACACTCACCAGGTATCATCCCTACTCACCAGGTCTCAACCACACTCACCAGGTCTCAACCACACTCACCAGGTATCATCCCTACTCACCAGGTCTCAACCACACTCACCAGGTCTCAACCACACTCACCAGGTCTCAACCACACTCACCAGGTCTCAACCACACTCACCAGGTCTCAACTATACTCACCAGGTCTCAACCACACTCACCAGGTCTCATCCACACTCACCAGGTCTCAACCACATTCACCAGGTCTCAACCACACTCACCAGGTCTCAACCACACTCACCAGGTCTCAACCACACTCACCAGGTCTCAACCACATTCACCAGGTCTCAACCACACTCACCAGGTCTCATCCACACTCACCAGGTCTCAACCACACTCACCAGGTCTCAACCACACTCACCAGGTCTCAACCACACTCACCAGGTCTCAACCACACTGCCCAGGTCTCAACCACACTCACCAGGTCTCATCCACACTCACCAGGTCTCAACCACACTCACCAGGTCTCATCCACACTCACCAGGTCTCAACCACACTCACCAGGTCTCAACCACACTCACCAGGTCTCTCCCTACTCACCAGGTCTCATCCACACTGCCCAGGTCTCAACCACACTCACCAGGTCTCATCCACACTCACCAGGTCTCTCCCTACTCACCAGGTCTCTCCCTCCTCACCAGGCCTCATCCACACTCGCCAGGTCTCAACCACACTCACCAGGTCTCATCCACACTCACCAGGTCTCAACTACACTCACCAGGTCTCTCCCTACTCACCAGGTCTCAACCACAGTCACCAGGTCTCAACCACACTCACCAGGTCTCAACCACACTCACCAGGTCTCATGCCTACTCATCAGGTCTCATCCCTACTCACCAGGTCTCAACCACACTCACCAGGTCTCAACCACACTCACCAGGTCTCAACCACACTCACCAGGTCTCATCCCTACTCAACAGGTCTCAACCACACTCACCAGGTCTCATCCACACTCACCAGGTCTCAACCACACTCGCCAGGTCTCTCCCTACTCACCAGGTATCAACCACACTCACCAGGTCTCAACCACACTCACCAGGTATCCACACTCACCAGGTCTCAACCACACTCACCAGATCTCAACCACACTCACCAGGTCTCTCCCTACTCACCAGGTATCAACCACACTCACCAGGTCTCATCCACACTCACCAGGTCTCATCCACACTCACCAGATCTCAACCACACTCACCAGGTCTCAACCACACTCACCAGGTCTCATCCACACTCACCAGGTCTCAACCACACTCACCAGGTCTCATCCACACTCACCAGGTCTCAACCACACTCACCAGGTCTCATCCACACTCACCAGGTCTCAACCACACTCACCAGGCCTCTCCCTACTCACCAGGTCTCATCCACACTCACCAGGTCTCAACCACACTCACCAGGTCTCAACCACACTCACCAGGTCTCATCCACACTCACCAGGTCTCAACCACACTCACCAGGTCTCATCCACACTCACCAGGTCTCAACCACACTCACCAGGTCTCTCCCTACTCACCAGGTCTCAACCACACTCACCAGGTCTCATCCACACTCACCAGGTCTCAACCACACTCACCAGGTCTCAACCACACTCACCAGGTCTCAACCACACTCACCAGGTCTCAACTACACTCAACACTCACCAAGACTCAGATAACACCCAGCAAGACAAATATCACACTCGCCAGGTCACAATCACACTCACCAGGTCTCACCCCCCCACCCTCACCAGGCGATGTGGGCATCACGCGCCAGCTGCTGTCGGTGGAGGCGGTTGTGGCGCGGGGCGCGCTGGAGGTGCCCAACGCGCTGGGCCTCACCGCGCTGATGCAGGCCGCGGTGCAGGGCCGCCTGCACTGCGCCCGCCAGCTCGTGCTCGCAGGTGCGGCCAGCACCTCACCGCTTCTCACACCTCAATTCATTCCTCAACCTTCACCCATAGCGCCTCATGACTACTGACCGCTTCCACCTCCCCTATTCACCACTCGAGCCTCACTCGTTAACCCCTCACACCTTTAACGTCGTTCCACATTACTCATCCGTCATTCGTAACCTCACCATTCGTCCATTCTCACTCCTCACCACTCACCGGGTCTAGAATTGTCTCTGAAAATGCATTCTTTCGACACTTGAAAGATGGATTATTGTGGTTCAGTGGAGATGCCCAAAGGCTCCGAGTCACACCTTCTCACACCAAGGCAGCTTTGTCAGACCACTAGAGTTCAGTGTGAACACCCATGGGTGACAGCCAGCGTTTCAAGAGCCAACAATAACGATCCAGGGAAGCCTCAGCGAGTCTCAGGACTCTCCTTCAGGAGGGTGCTGCATCGGGATGGTTGGCCCTGCCACGATTGCGTGTTTGACTCATGGGAGTAAAGCGGTGGCCCTGTTGAAACCCCACCGCGCATAAAACGCTCAAGGCACTGCACAGATGGATTCAACCCACTTGTTGTACTGCCGATCACCTTGTAGCCAATTCAGTGAACAGTGTTTCGCGTCGCACGGTGGCTTGGTCGTATGTGCGGAAGCGACCGGGCACGAGGTGGAGGAGGCCACACTCCGAGGGGCCCCGTTTGCACGGCTCGCGTCAAGGGGACGTTTGCGCGCAACTGCAGGCGCGGACATGGAGGTGCGGGACAGCGGCCGCGGGCTGCGGGCCCAGGAGTGGGCCCTGCTGGGTGGACGCGCGGACACAGCGGCCCTGCTGGAGCGTCTGGCGAAGATGGGCCAGCCCGAGTGGCTCCAGTGCGACGGGTACCGCCTGGGGTCCCCATGCCTCGGTGGCCAGTGCGACGACCGCGCCTCCTCCACCGGCCAGGGGGCCGCTGGTTGCTTCCTGAGGGCCCTGCGAGCTCTGACGGACGCGTGCTTCCCGGGGGGGCCCCAAGACAACGGCGCGCTCGACCACATGGTCCGCGCAACCACGGCCGCGTCCGGCCCCTTCGTCGGCACGGCGTGCAAGCCTTGCTTTGGCGGCACCACCCGGGACTCGGGGGCCACCGTTGAGGCGCCTCCAAGCGCCGCGACGGCGCGCGGCGGCGACCCCAAAGTCGTGGGGCCATGGGCCGGCGCGCCGTCATACTTGCGGGGTGCCTCCCGTGGCCATGGCCGCGTCGCGTGGGCCACGGGGTGGATGCCGACTCGGCCCCGGCGGCTCCGAGTCGGCGTCCGCCCCGAGTCACCGCTGCCGAGCATCCGGCTCAGCAAGGTCGGGAGGGTGACTCCTGCACCCGAGGAAGGCGCCCGGAGTCCCCGCGGCATCCAGAGCGCACAACTCCTGTGCGTCTCCTGCCCCTGAGCGCACTACCGCGTTCGAGTCTCCGCTTGTGTCGGGGGGAGCAGCTGGACGGGTGGCGGGCACGCTGCCTTCTGCCCCCTCCCCCCCTCTTCCCTTTGCTCCCCCACACCTTTGTATGTCCCCGGATCCCAGAACCCCCCCAGTTTTTTAAGCTCTCTCTGGATCCTCTACGCTCCCCCTCGCTTCACTCTGCTCCCCGTTGTGTCGAGGCTTGCGCCTCCGATTTGCCCTTGACCCTCGCTGCCCCCCTCCCACGTGTCCCCCCTATTCGCTGCCCCCCTCCCACGTGCCCCCCCCTGTTCGCTGCTCCCCTCCCACGTGTCCCCCCTGTTCGCTGCTCCCCTTCCACTCGACTCGGATTGCGGGCTCGGCGCGGGGCGGCACGGCACGGTAGTGTTTATTTAAAATGGCGATGGGCGGACAAGAGCTCATCTCGGCAACACTCACTCCACATAAAACCGCACGACGGTTACCACACGCGGGGTCACAGACATGGCCTCACTTCGGGGCATGACCCCCCCTGGTGGGGGGGGGGGGCTGAGAGGGGGGGGGAGGGGGACACCCGCTGTGGGGGAGTGAATCGCGGGGACCCTGCAAACCCGACACCTCGCACCGAGGAAGCGAATACAAAAACCACCAAGACGGCAGCACAGGACCACGGCTGGCGGAGGGGCGGCACGGCATCGCGGCAGAGTCTGCCGGGTCCCTCCCCACCGAAGCGGCTCCGTGTGGTGACGGTAACCGGTTGCTTTGTGTAAAAACCCTGCTCGGCGTTCTGCACCAAACCCTTCAGGGCGAGTCGTGCGAGGGCGGGCGGGCGGGCGGCGAGGAGGAGGAGGCGGAGACGGCAGCTTTTGAGTGCGGGAGGAGCAGAGCAGTGGGGAGATTGGGGGAGGGTGGTGCACAGCGGGAGGAAAAATGGGTGATGGAGCGAAAGAGGTTTGGGGGGGAGATGTGAGAGGCAAGTGTAGAGATGCGGGCTGAGGGAGGGGGTAGAGAGGCATAGGGAGAGAGACGAGGGAAGACATGCGTGAAGAAAGGCAGGGGTGGAGATGCAGGGAAGGATGGAGGTCGTGGAGAGTTAAGCGAAGATAGAGGGAGAGAGATGCAGGAATTGAGCAGAGGCAGGCATGGAGCGAGGTGCAGGGTGGAGAGAGAGAGATGCGAGAGAAGATTTCGGCAGGTGGAGAGAGCGAGGATGCAGAGAGGCAAGAGATCAGGCGAGAGAGAGAGGTGAGGTTAGATAGAAGCAGGGAGAGAGAGCGAGAGAGAGAGCGGGAGAGAGAGCATGAGAGAGAGAGCGTGAGAGAGAGCGGGAGAGAGAGCAGGAGAGAGAGTGAGCGAGAGAGAGTGAGCGAGAGAGAGTGAGAGAATGAGCGAGAGAGAGAGAGTGAGCGAGAGAGAGAGAGAGAGTGAGCGAGAGAGAGCGAGAGAGTGAGAGAGTGAGAACTAAGGTTCAGCCTCCACTTCTCCCCGACGGTCCTCATCTTTGGATACCCGAAGGGCGACGGACCCCAACATCTTCAGGGGCTGGTCAACGTGCTCTTCGGCTACGCCAAGCTCGCCATATACAGGGCGAGGAAGGTGGCCCTGGAGGGGCAACGGCCAGCAGCCTGGGCATCTTCCGCGCTCTGGTCAGAGCCAGGGTGTGGCTGGAGTTCCGCCATGCGCGGCTGACCCACGTCATGCCGGCCTTCAAGGAGCAGTGGGCGCTGGAGGAGGCCGTGTGCTCGGTGGCAGATGATGGAGAGCTCTGCATGCAGATCTAAGCTACCCGTCGGAGGCCGTTTGACTGTGGGAAGGGCTGCGTGCAGGTGCAGCACTTGTCGTAGTTATAATAAAAATAGAGAGAGCGAGAGAGTGAGCGAGAGAAAGCGAAATGGAGTAGGAAGAGAGGGGGCAGAGAGAGAGAGGGGGGGGCAGAGAGGGGGGTAGAGAGAGAGGAGGGGCAGAGAGGGGGGTAGAGAGAGAGGGAAGGGGTAAGGAGAGCAGAAAAAAAAGAAGAAAAAATATTTTGTTGGGTCTTTCATTTAAAAGGGGGGGGGGGGGGGGTTCATAAAGCAAAGCATAAAAAAACCGAAATGATGAACGGAGCAAAGTGCTGACTACACCAAGAGAGTGAGCGAGAGAGAGTGAGCGAGAGAGAGCGAGAGAGCGAGAGAGAGCGAGAGAGAGAGAGTGAGCGAGAGAGAGCGAGAGAGAGAGCGAGAGAGAGCGAGAGAGTGAGCGAGAGAGAGAGTGAGAGCGCGAGAGAGAGAGAGAGCGAGAGAGAGAGTGAGCGAGAGAGAGTGAGAGCGAGAGAGAGCGAGAGAGAGAGAGAGTGAGAGAGAGAGAGCGAGGGAGAGCGAGAGAGGTGAGGTTAGATAGAAGCAGGGAGAGAGAGAGTGAGCGAGAGAGAGAGAGCGAGAATGAGCGAGAGAGAGCGAGAGAGAGAGCGAGCGAGAGAGAGCGAGACAGAGAGCGAGAGAGTGAGACAGAGAGCGAGAAAGAGAGAGAGCGAGAGAGAGAGGTTAGATAGAAGCAGGGAGAGAGAGAGCGGGAGGGTGGAAGGAAGTTCAGGGGGAGAGGGGTGAGTGATGCGAGGAGAGTGAGAGGGTGGTGCAGTGTCGGTAGAAAGATCATAGCTTGTGCCCGTGTTTATCGATGTGACATCACCACCTGTATCGAATGCCAGTATTGAGCGAAACTCGAGTTGAAACAGTGCGCCGCACGTGTGTCAGCATTGTCACCTTCGAGCTGCGTGTCAATTGGACATCTGACGGATTAAACTCCCGACAAATCTGCCCTTTATGACGGATACACGGGTACACCAGCTTGAGTGACGGAGGGTTGATGGGCATTGGCTTCTTCTGCCTTTCCCTTCCGAACTGACATGAACCAACGTGCGTCCATTCACGATGCAGATGAGGCGGGCGGCTTTGGCGCGTCGTGGCGAGAGACGGGGGAGCCACGTGGCGGCTACAGGCGCGTGTTTGGCTTCAGCAGTTCAAGTAACATGAAAACAGCAGCGGCGGCGGTGGTCCGTGTTGACAAGTGCACATGCAGACGGCGGCGCGTGTAGACTCGTGGGGGGCATGCGGGGGAGCGCGTGATTTGCATAAACACGGCATGGAAAATAAATGTGCACAACGACTTGGGCCGTGTCTTGGACAGCGATGAGACCGGCGGCCACGATTTCACCCGTGGCAGGGCACGGTGGCCGAGGAGCGTGGGTCGCGCCGTCGACGGGGCCACGCCGCGGGCACGGGCCACCCCTTTCGTGGCCGTCGCCGTCGTCAAAATATAGCTCCAGCCTCCGGGAGGAGAGTTTGCGCTCGCGAGAGTCGCTGGGAGGAGGGGTCGAGGTAGGGCAGGATGGCCCACTCGGCCAGGGATCTGCGTGGCGGGGGCGGTGGTGCGGCACTTGTGGCGGCGCGGTGGCCTCCTCGCTCACACCCACGAGTCGGGCGAGTTGTGCAGCTGGCTCGTCTCGTACGAGGAGACGCTGTAGGGCGGCCGAGCCGCCGAGTAGAAGTCTACGTAATTGTCGTTGGCCTTGAGGTCGCGCCGGGCGGTGTGATCGGGGGCGGTGGCGGGTCGCAGCACCCTGCCCGCGCCCGGGTTGGGGGCCGCGGTGGCGGCGCCCAGGGTCACGTGGTAGCGCTGCGGGGAGCCTCCTGGGCCACGCAGGGTCGTGCGATCTCGGTCCGCCGGCTCTCCCGGTGCCGACTGGGCCGGGCAAACACCACAGACATGCTTCGTGAGAGACTAGGACTACGACACAGAGTGAAAATTACCCACACAGTCGCAAAAAAGCAATCACACTCCTGCTCAGAATATCCCGAGAGGAACTCCGCCATCGGGGACGATTGGCCACGCGGCGCCGCACTCGCCTGCGTGTGCCGGGGAGCCTCCTCGGGCGCGGGGATGGAGTACGCACGGTAGGGGCCCACGGTCTGGATGCGGGACGCGGACTGGCTGCGCCCTGAAGGCAACACACGCGCACGGACGAGACGCGCGTTTCATCGGACGTGGCGGGGTACGGCTGGGTCGGGCGCGACGGGCGAGGCGGCGGTGCCGCGTACCTCCGCGTGGCTCCTCCTGCGGGGCCGGCTGCTCGGGGCGGCCCGGGGGTGGGCAGCGCGACGTGGAGACGCTGCGCCGCTTCTCGCCCTCGGCTTGCGGCCTGCGTTCATCCGTGGCTCGGAACACCTCTCGCGGAGACCCCACGCTGCCCACTGGGCACACGGACAGCGAAACGCAGCTCAGGCGCTCGATCCTGGGTTCGCATGCTGCGCCAGCGTCACGGCTCCGTTGCCCCAGAGAATCGTGCGCCGGGCCACTGCTGCTCGGGCAGCTTAGCGGGAAACACGACGGTGGTACCTGATTGGCTGAGAGGGGAGTGCCGACGGTTGGCCGGGGACGAGGAGAGGGTCTCGCAGGACGACTTGTGCTTTTCCCAGTCCGAGGTGGATGTCGGAGGAGTGAAGTCGCCCTGTACCCAGCCGTCCTGACGGCACAAGCCCGGGGGAATGTGGGTGGTGCACAGCGTGAGCCATAGCGTGCGGCGACTCGGCCTCCACACTTGTCTGAGCTTGGGCATGCGTTGTACGTGAGAACGGTTCAGGTCGAGCACAATTACTCACGAACCAAGCAAAGAAGACAATCCACATAATGGCACACGGTTTTGGTGCATCGGCAACCTTTCCTAGTTATTCTGCACTGCACTGAATGGTCTCATAGTGTTCAAGAAGGACTTTACTATCACACCAGGCAACCCAGCAGAATGTATAATAAATAAGGACCTTTTGAGGTCCAGAATACCCACAGGCTGATGGACATTAATGTTACTTTTTTCCCCAAATGAAAAACAGACTTCTTTACTGTTTATTTCTGCCTATTCGTGTCAGTATACTACATTTCGCTGTATGTATTTTTTTACCAATGTTAAAGTATTTTCTAATATCTTTCAAATCCTAGAAAGTTTGTTTTGCTTAAATGTGACTTTGGTATCCGATGGCATTTCCCTTCTTTTCTTTAGTTTTGTCTGCATGCATTGGAGTTTGCCTTAGACGGCATTGGTTGTCACATGGTAACCAACATCACCTCCAATTAGCACGGTTGGCTACGTATGGCATGAAAGAAGTTCAACATACATTCATTATTCCATGCGTTCATACTGAGTAAATAATCCGTGCATTGTTAAATCAAACAGATGAGGGAAAGTTCCACAACTGCCTGCAGCATCGTCATAGAGGACATCATCTCACAAGATAATGCTGATGGCACCACACATAGCAAAGTCTTCTGCCTCTACACACGCCTCTTGCTCTCAAAGATCACCATTAATACCGAGCATTAGCCATTTGCCGATGGGACTGCGATACCTTGAGCCACGAGTCCCGTTCCTGGGGAACACAGAAGCCTCTGCAACAACCTCCATGCCCACATGCGAGTTTCCAGGTTGGACCGTATTCCCCAGGGCCCAACTCAAAAACCGTACTCGCAATTACGAGCGGCCGCAAACGCCGCGAACCCTCTGCGCGGCAGCGCTAATTGGACCGCTGCCGCGTGCGCTTGGAACAAAGCGTCCGGCGGGCACAAGCAGGACACTCACCTTCTTGTAGAGGCCCCGGAGCTCACGGTACTGCCACAGCGTGTTGAGCACCTGGGCTGCTGCACGCACCACCTTCGGGGAGTGCCTGATCCCCACACAGCCACGCACACACACGCCGCACAGCAGGCATGCACCGCCCGCGGCCCCCACAGCGAGCTCATCGAGACCTTTGTTCTCAACCGGCCCGCACGAGGAGGCCCTATGGCGCAATACGTCAGACATTCAACTTGGAACCCCAGCCTCGAGCTTCGGGGATTGAGATCTACGTAATGGCTTGAAGGCACGGGAACCTGGGGATACAGACGGTGGGGACACGGGCACGCGGCTCGCACCTGCCAGCCTTGCCACGCGTGATGCCCACCAGTCGACCGATGCCGCCCGCGTCGCACAGTGCCTTGGCGTTCTCCAAATTCTTGCTGATCACCTCGTGCAGCGCGCAGCACACGGCCGCCACACTCGGGTCCGACGCGATGGGGGCCCCGACTCCCTCTCCCGCCGGCACGGGGCCCGGGGCGTTCGGCAGACGCTGCACCAGGTCCCGCAGCGCGTACTTACCTGCACAGGAAGACCCACGCACGCACACACGCGCACGCGCACTCAGCGGCAGCGTATTTCGGGCGGTCCGCACCGAAGATTCATGGTGGATGGAACAATGTCGTGGTGGATCCGTGGAGCAGGGGGGGCACGGTGGTACCACGAGGGGTCACCTGTGTGAAATGTTTTCTGGTTTTATAAAACTCCCGAGAGTTTGTGTGGAGGCCATGCGCACCGATGAGCTCCTTGTTACGCGCGTCCAGGGCCATGTTGCGCAGGGCGGTGGCGACGGCGCAGACGACGCGCTCGCTCTGCACGCGCAGCAGCTCCACCAGGATGGGCAGCCCCTTCTCCTTGCGCACGGCGGCGCGCACGTACGCAGCCCACTGCATAGACAAAGAGCACCCCCCCCCCCCCGTATAGCCTTAAGAACTTGTTGGGTCAGCGAGCAGCTATGAAAGCCGGCATGGCACGAGCGGGACCAGCACTACACCCGGCCGCCTTCGTCTCCCTCGAGGCGATGTTGAAACACCACACCAGGTACTCATTTAAGACCGGGTCGACCTAGGAGAGGCCCAAGACTGGTTCAGATAATGGTTACCAGTTTTGGCCATGATCGGGACTCGAACTCGCATGGTAGTGCAGTTCGCTTACCACTACATTAATCAATAACACTGTGGCCTTTACATAAAGATAACATGCGACGTTTTGGGCAATGGCCCTTCTTCATAGCCCACATAAAACAGTTGTGTGTCGGCGACAACTGCCCACCTTCCAGGATCCGGCCGCCAGGTTTTGCAGCGCGCCGGCCGATCCCTCGAGGGTGTCGGGGTTGGAGCACTCGGCGAGCAGCGCCAGGTACGGCTTGGCCACGTTCGGGTGCCAGAGAAGCTCGGCGCCACGGGGCTGCTCCCCCGAGTCCGGCATGGGCCCCGCGCCGTCCCACTGCGCAACCGAACAAATGGGAGGGGGGGGGGGGAGTTGGGGGGGGACTCCCATGGACCCGCGTTTTACCCCCGTGCGGTGCGGTGCGTCGCCCCGACGACCATCACGACGTACAGCCAGGGGATTGCTAAGCCCATCTGTGTGGATGTGCGAGTGTTATCTCCTCGTACGCGTGAGAACAACTGCGTGAAAGCGCAATAATACAGTGGCTACAGATCCTCATGCAGGGCCTTGCTGGAAAAGTCTCGAAACTCAGAAAGGATTTGCCTGGATCTGGATGTTATACGAGAGCGCCACGCTCGCTTTACGCAGGCACACGCAGGCAAGCACAGACTCGGGGCACGCAACCTGCGTTCGTGTTGGGGCCGCCCCCTGCCCGCGAGCGGCAGCCATACCTCGGCGTCGGGCTGTTTTTTTCCTGCGCCGCCGGCCCCAGCAGCTGGACTCGTCCTTGGAGGCGGCGCCGCGTCCACCCGGCGTGGAGGAGCCGCGCTCGTCCTCGCCGCGCGTCTGGCGGCCCTGCCGCGTCTCGGCCTCCAGGCGGTAGGAGAGGTTGCGCAGCACGCACACCGCGTTCTCCACCACCTGCGTGGGCGCGCACGGCACGCCCGGCCGGGGTGAGGGCGCGAGCCGCGGAGCCCCGCCGCAGCGCCCCACCCCCCCCCGCGTGGGCGTGGATCCCCGACTGCACGGGTCGCGCCGGCCGCTCACCTTGCTGTTAACGCCGCTGGTGCCGAGCGCAGAGCGGATAATGCCGAGCAGTGCCTCCACCAGCCCCTCGCACTCCCGCATGCGCTTGCGCGCGTCCTCGCCCGCCGAGCTCACGTTCCTGCGACACGGGAAAGCGGGGGTCGGCACTGTGCCAAAACGACCGCGCTCCCGCGTCCACCGTCGATCGCACCCGGCGCCCGCAGCGGCCGTTACCGGAGGCAGCCCGTGGTGTTGGTGAGCGTGTGTCCCGCAGGGCCCGCGTCCGTCAGGTCATGCAGCACGGGGCCCGATCCGGGTAGCTGTGGCATCAGCACGAGGTGTGTGAGCGCCGCCAGCGCGTCCTGGATGATGGGCATCTTGAGCGAGTCGCACGAGGACAGGTTCCACAGCACCCCTGTAGGACGAGCAGGCCGGCTCAGTCGGGCGTCTCCCTCTCACTACGGGCACGCTCGGCCAGTGTGTGGCGCGCTGGTGCGCGCCCCTCGGTGGATTGCTCCCAAGTTTATTTTGTGTAACGGGGTGAAAGCTCGAGAGACCAGGATGAGTCTCGATTGCAAGAGTGAGCCGGGGTCACAGCGCCACAGCAATGAAGCAATAGAAATAAACCCAACCGAAATGTCATGAACATACACGCGGAACAAAAAGATAATCAGCATAACTATCCCAGGGCTCCACACTCTTATCAGCTTCACACTCGCGCGGTGCGAGCGATCAAGGCTCACGAGGTGGCGGATGCGGTGATATTCATCTCCGCTGTCAAACACCAGCAGCTCGGTGGGACGCGGTAATGAGGACGGGAACGTACCCGTGACGAGCTCTCGCGTCTCGGGATCGGCAGACTTGCGCAGGAGCCGCACCAGGGCCGGGATGCCCATGCAGCTGCGCGCCGCCACTTTGTTGTCGTCGTTGGCGCGGCCGTACACGAGGTTGCGCAGGGCCCCGCAGGCCCCACGATGAACCTCGGCCACGCGGTGATCCAGCAGCTCCACGAGCAGCGGCACCCCGCCCAGGCGACGCACCTGTGCGCGGGTGAGTTCAGGTGAGCCCAAGCGAGCCCAGGTGAGTCGCCTACACGGGCTACGTGGGCACAAAACCCTGGCGGCGTATATCCACATGACGGCGTCTTCCCGGAACTCTGCCCAACGGTTACCGAGTTCCTTGAGGCTGTTCCCGGATAAGCTAAGAGTGCTGCTGTTCGTGACACCGAGATGAAACTGACAGAAGCCAGCATGACGCTCTCCCTAGCCGAGCCTAAAATAAGCATGCGGAACACGGAGGCGTCTCGGCTGCTGTGAGTAGCGATTCACACGTTCACACCCGCACCACGCTCTCGCCGTGCCGTTTATCGCTACTTGGGTACAGCCATCCGAGACAGCGGGACCACCACCACCACGTGTCTCGATCTCCGCTCGGCATCACAACTCCAGCCTCTAGTTACCTCTGTTCCAAACTTAGACCACTCTGTCAACTCTATAGACCTCTGCCCCAACCCGAGAGACCCGCCTGTTCAATCCCATAAACCCACTATCCAACCCTAGAGACCCGCCTGTTCAATCCCATAAACCCACTATCCAAACCTAGACACCCTCCTGTTCAATCCCATAAACCCACTATCCAACCCTAGAGACCCTCCTGTTCAATCCCATAAACCCACTATCCAACCCGAGAGACATCCTGTTCAATCCCATAAACCCACTATCCAACCCGAGAGGCATCCTGTTCAATCCCATAAACCCACTATCCAACCCTAGGCACCCTCCTGTTCAATCCCATAAACCCACTATCCAACCCGAGAGACCCTCCTGTTAAATCCCATAAACCCACTATCCAACCCGAGAGACCCTCCTGTTAAATCCCATAAACCAACTATCCAACCCTAGAGACCCTCCTGTTCAATCCCATAAACCCACTATCCAACCCGAGAGACCCGCCTGTTCAATCCCATAAACCCACTATCCAACCCTAGAGACCCGCCTGTTCAATCCCATAAACCCACTATCCAACCCTAGAGACCCGCCTGTTCAATCCCATAAACCCACTATCCAAACCTAGACACCCTCCTGTTCAATCCCATAAACCCACTATCCAACCTTAGAGACCCTCCTGTTCAATCCCATAAACCCACTATCCAACCCGAGAGACATCCTGTTCAATCCCATAAACCCACTATCCAACCCGAGAGGCATCCTGTTCAATCCCATAAACCCACTATCCAACCCTAGGCACCCTCCTGTTCAATCCCATAAACCCACTATCCAACCCGAGAGACCCTCCTGTTAAATCCCATAAACCCACTATCCAACCCGAGAGACATCCTCCTGTTCAATCCCATAAACCCACTATCCAACCCTAGGCACCCTCCTGTTCAATCCCATAAACCCACTATCCAACCCGAGAGACATCCTCCTGTTCAATCCCATAAACCCACTATCCAACCCGAGAGACATCCTCCTGTTCAATCCCATAAACCCACTATCCAACCCGAGAGACATCCTCCTTTCCCAACTGCTCGCCGAACCCTAGAGATCGACTCTTCAATCTCAGACGCCCCCCATATCACGACTCCAGAGACGCTCTCCACCTCGCAATCAATTCCTCCTGACGCACGCGTCGCCCCCACGCTCGACGACTCACCTGGGCCTTGACTAAGTCATCCCCAAAGCACACGTGCTGCAGATACGCGGCGGCGTTCGCCTGCACGGAGGGAAACTCGTGCTGTAGCATCTGAATGACCTCGGGGAGGTCCGGGTCCCGCCACGCGAACTCCCTGCGCTCGCACGGAGGGCACAACTCTGTCGGGAACTGGCAGAGGGGCACCACAAGGTCCAGAGCTGTCCCTGTGTGACCGTGAAGTCCACACGAACGCGTACATCACATAGACGCAATGAATACACGACACAAGGACACGATATACACCGGTGTTCTTCACTCATTTTCAGAGGGGAGCAATTACTCGCCGATAAGACATCGGTGTGAGCGAGGACCGCCACACATTTGAAACCATTGGGGCTTGACAGCATGGTGGGGTGTTGTCACGTGTTGTGTATTGTCGGGGGCGCCACGTCAGGGGGCTGAACTAAAGGCCACCAGGGGCCGCCAGTGGCCTGCGGGCCTTGCAATGAAGAACACTGCTCCACACAATGTACACAATAGCAGCACATGGTAGATACACACGATGTACACAATATATACACAAGACAACCACATAATGGCTACACACTGTCCAGAATACATAAACACAAGCACATGCTAGATACAATGCTAGATACAATGTACACAACGTATACACAATACAAACTATACCTACACAATAGATATGATATCAAAGATACACATACTGCTTACTAATATGTACATATTACACGACACGCAATATAATACGGACACTATAAAAAAAACTCATGCATTATGTTTACTGTTGTAGCATACTCAAGATCGTGAGATGTGGGTGGCGGCAGCTTGAAGTGGCCTTAATCCAGCAGTGGATCGATCATTGTTGATGATGAACACACAATACGTACATACATTACATAGTTCATATGCCACCTACACACAGTACCCACACGACATCCAACACACAACAGAGCTAAAGACAAAAGTTCACCCTATAGCCTTTAGCAGACTGTTGGGGCAAGTGCTGTTAGCGAGCACCTATGAAGGCCGGCACGGTACACGAGGGGGTGGGTGGTCAACACCACGCCCGGCCGCCTTTGTTTCCCCAGTGGCGAAGTTTACACACCACATCAGGTACTCGTTAGAAGCTGACTCAATCTAGGGGAGGCCGATGAACGGTTCAGATAATCGTTATTGGTGTTGGCCACACTCGGGAATCGAACCCGGGTCGCCGGGTTCGTAGTGCAGCGTAGCGCTAACCGCTACACGACCGCTCCCCGCTACTAAAGACAACGAACCCCCGTATAGACAAACACACAACCACACGAAGCCAGACCGAGCTCTGGGTGTGATGGATGGAGCTCTCTGATGCTGGCGGGGAGCACGTGCCACGATTTGTGTGGAAATTGGAGATAGTGGGGGGGGGGAATGGGAGCCGGGGGGGGGGCGATTGTGGGTTGGAGACAGCCTCGGGGTCTCCCTCACTGACGTGACACTTCACCTCGGCACGTGCAGCTGGCAATTAACGACGCCCGTGGCACCGCGGCGCTGCCAGTGATTGGAAAGAACGTGGTGATAATTGGGTTTCAATTTATGACAACACGACCCCCTTAGGATGGCGGAGGCAATCTCAGCTGCGTGCGCCACGGCCAAGGATCGCGTTTTAAGAGAGGATAACAATTGACGGCGATTTACAGCCCCGTTCAGTCCACCGCTGTACGAATTGAGGCGTCACTCCACCGCGTCGCTCATTGGAGGGGGGGGGGGAGGGTTGATTGAGCGATACTTCACCACGCTGGGCATTGTGCGTTCGTAGTGAAGCGGAGGAAGCAGGCGCGGGACCGAATGAGACATCCCGCGTCTCTGATGTTTAGAGGTGGCCCGAATTGAACTCGGATTGTCAGGTCGATGGGGCAGTGCGCGCGCGCGCGAACCTCTGTGCCACCGCTTCCGCAGTGGCCAGCTTTGGTGAAGTATGGTCAAACAGCCCCCATTACTGACACGGCATGTGGAGGCCTTCATCCATCGGGTGATTGACAAAAGCGCGATGAATGGGAGACGTTGCGCGCGACGCGGGGGCAGGCGTCTCCACGCTGTCGACTGCCGGGAGCCGTGGCGCCAGCCGAATACATGGCACCGAGTCTGAAGCCGTCGATGCCGCCCCACGCACCTCGCCACCAACGCTGCCCCAGTTCGTGCTGCGTCGGCACGCCCGAGGCTCCTGCGGTGGGGTGATGCTCACCTGGGGTCCTTGTGGATGCTATCCAGGGACGGCTGCCGAGTGGGCGCCAGGCTTTGAGTGGGCGCCTGCGGGTACGCGGAGACCTCCCCCCGAGAGAGCGGCCCCGGCGAGTATCGGTACGCGTCCGGGTACCCGGCCGAGGCGGCCGCGGGCTCTGGGTTGAGCGCGGGCGACGCCTGCAGCGCGTAGGCGTCGGGGAAGGGGTCCGCGTTGTAGGAGGGCGACTGCCGGTACGAGTCCGGGTCCGCGTAGATCTGGTGCACGGGCGACTGCCGGTACGGCTCCGGGTCGACGTACGCCTGGCGGCTGGGCGACTTCTGGCTCGCGTCGATGTCCGCGTACAGGTGGTGGCTGGGCGAGTGGCGGTACTCCTCCGACGTGTAGGTGGCCCCCCCCGCCGCAGAGCTGAAGCTGCCCCGCTGGTAGGTGAGGTAGCTGCGGGCGCTGCGCTGGCTGCCGCTGCCGCTGCGCTTGAAAGGCACTGAGCGGACACGGTGGGGGGCGGGGGGGGGGGGGTCAGACGGCTCGGCTCAGCCGCGGTAGCAGGCGGCCCCCAACCCGCGCGAGGGAGACTCTCGTCTCCGTGCTCTCACGTGGCCGTTATGCGTACGGTCAAGACGTCTGGGTGTTGGCTGGGGGTGGGATTTGCCCTTAAGGTAAAACCGGTAAAGGCGCAGCCCTGCAAATGCTCTCGGAGAGATTTTGTCAACTATCCCCCACGCCGACCAGATGTGTTGGAAGAGGTGGCTGATTGCCACGCTTTACCCCAGCCAGCGGTGTAAATGCGCCCATTTACACCGCTGGCTGGTGGACAGAGGCGGCGGCGAGAGAGTAAAAAAAACTCGCCCATTGTTACAAACTGCCCTGCCGAGAGATGGAATTGAACTGGTCCGCTCTAGATTGCAAGTCCAGTGCGCTAACCATTGCACCACTGTGCGAGGGAGGGAGCTCTTGAACTCAAAACGCCGTGAGTTGCCTGAGCGTGTCACCCGCCCCTCCACTCCCGCTGTGTCGATTACTGCCGGGGCGAGCCGGTCAATAATACAACGGCAACGCAGCACAATGGTAGCACAGTACACGCATAGCCAGCCACTCCGAGCCTCCACACTCCCTTTTCATAGGTTTGGAGATGATTGTTTATATTCTGAGTGCTGTACGTGTGGGAGGAAACGCCGAGTGTCTAGAGAAAGCCTACTCGTGGCAGTGGATGTCACTGACAACTCCGTACAGGCTGGGTTTGCGAGCCCACTTACTGTACTGCCAGCTCCTGACCACCGCGCTGCCCAGCGTTTTTGGGAGTTTACAAATCTCTACGTGAGCCACAACCCACCGGCCTCCAAATCTGTATCACAAATCTGTAATCCATCAAACTCCACAGAACCCTCCCCACCGACCGCCGCCCTGGGGCGGGTGCCGCAGTCGCGGATTTCCCTCCCCCCCCCCAGCACGGAGCGGACGTCGTCACGGTAGCGACCGATTGATAATCCTCCTGGAGCATCAGACGGGCTGCGAGTGACTGTCCACGCGCCGTCTGCGACGAGGAGTTGCCGCCGCGGGAGATCGAAGCGTAGCGCGGTGCGAAGGGCCGATTAGGGGGCGGAGTGAAGTTCGCTCGCGAGGATTCGCCACGGGGCGCCCAGCAATCACCCCTGTGCGATTGTTTGATTCCAAGTCAATTTTGAGTCAACGCAACTGCTGCGCCGCGTACGGCTGCTGTTATTATGCGGCAGTAAAGCGGCGTTCGCCGACTTCGATCGCGTTAATTGCTCGGTAATTGTTGCGGTGATAGCGGAAAGAATTGGGGGGGGGGGGGAGAGCGGGGCGGGTGGGAGGGTGGGGATGGAGGGAGTGGAGGGGGCACCCACTTGTACTGCTGTAAAACGCGGAGCTCCCGTGCGCGGGGAGCGGAGGTGGCGACTGCGACCCTGGGGTGGTGTGTCCCACGCTGCCCTGGCTCTCGGCGGGGTTCAGGAAGGCGGGGGGCTCGGCTCCGCCGCCCTGGCTCAGCTGGCTCGAGTACGACACGCGGGAGCCTGTACGCAGAGGACAGCGGAGCACAACCGCGAGGCTCTCCACGTGACAGTCAACGCGATCCCTCGCGTGCGGAACGCCCGCGGAAAGGAGAAGGAGCAAGGGCCGAGGGGATCCACCGAGACACTGAACCGGGGAATTCGAGGGGCGGGCACACGGGGCGAGGGGACCCGAGGGGATACTTGCCCGAGAGCTGCCCCGGGAACTGCATTTCGCGCCGCTCGTACAGGCTGTACGCGCCGTCCGCGGCGTGCGCGTAAAGGTCGTGTCCCATCCTCCTGGCCGCCGCGTCCCCTGCCCCCTGCCCCCGTGGGTCTCCACCGGCCCCCGCGTCCATGTAGCTGTCGGCGGATGAGCCGAGGTGCCCGAACGCGGCCTCTCCTCCCAGCGCGGCCTGCCGGGTGAACTTCCGGCCCATGGTTAGCGTGTAGAGCGCGGGGGCCCCCTGCGCGTGCGGGCCCCCGCCGGCCTCGGTGCCGGCCCTGTGGCTGCCGTAGGCGTCCGCCCCCTGGGTCGTCCTGCGCCTGCGCCCCAGCGTCCACGTGTACTGCTCGGGGAGAGGCGCGCGGTACGGGCTGCTGTCCCCCACGGCCTCCTCGTGGGAGAACCTCTCCTGACCGAACGCGTGGCTGCGCTCCTGGCCGTAGCGCTGTGCGCCCGGATCTGGGTAGCTCTCTCCGGCCTCGTCCCCGAACATCTCCGAGCCCTGCGGGCTGTATCCCAGCCCCGGCGTCTCCGAGTACATCTCTCCGTGCGGCTGGGTGTAGGCCTCGCTTCCTCGATACTGCTCCTGGGCATCCTGCTGCTGGCCGTAGTGGGTGGCGCTGGCAGGGCCCACGTGCTCACACAGCTGCTGCTGCTGCTGCTGCTGTTTCTGCTGCATCGGGAGGGGAGCCTCGCTCCTGAACGCGTCCTCGTCGTGCTCCGCGCGGAACCCGCGTTGAGCAGGAACCCCCGGGCCCGGCTCCTCGTCTCTGCCGCCCGCGGGCACCAGGGCCTCCCCCTCGGCGCTCCCGCCCCCGGCGGCGCGCTGAGCGAGCAGGGCGTGCCGCGTGGCCGGGACGGGCGCCACCGGCGCGGACGGCGGGGGTGGCGCCTGGCTCGGGGGCTGAGCGGGAGCGGTCGCCTTGGCTGTGGGCGGCGTGGAGCGGGGAGGCGGGATCGGAGGCGGCCGCTTCCCCGGACGGGCGAGAGGTATCACCGCGGGCAGAGGCGCCGCCGCGGGAGTCGCCGACTGCTGCGCGCAGGGACCCGAGTCCGAGGCGGGGCCGCTCAGGACCCTGGACAGCGCCGCACCGCCGCTCGCCCCTTTGCCGAAGGCCGAGCCGTGGGGAGCGAGAGGCGGGGCCGCCTCCTCCCTGTCCGAGGCCTCCTTGCCCCGAGCCACTGCCTCCGCCGCGCAAACTTCCTCCTCCGAGCTGCCGGCGCCGCTGCCGCCTTCCGACGCCGAGCGCTGAGCCGCGGAGCTCCCGGACTCGGGGTGCTGGAGCGCGGGGGCCTGAGTCGGCGGCGCCGGATACTGGAGCGACTGGGAGCCGTCCTGCGGAGAGAGCGCCTGGAGGGGGGAGCCGCTCTGCGCTGCGGGGACGGCCACGGATTCCCGACGGGACGGAGGGCAGTGGAAGGCGCTGCCAAACGACGACGAGAAGGTGAAGAGCGGAGGCGACGCGGCATCCGCGGCGCTGCTCGGGAACTCGGAGAAGCCGGCGGGGAGCACGGCGTCGGGAGACGCAGTGGCCTGGAGTGGGCAGAGAGACGGAGACAGAGAGAGCAGCAGTGGCGATGTAACACCGCTCTCGAGGTTGACGAGCGTGATGTGCGTGCCACACACTGTAGACGTGCGCGCGCGGAATTGCAAATGTTTACACATTGTACACACACACACACATACACAAAGACGCGCTCTGTCTTACACATACAGCATCGTGTACTCGCTCACACACACACACTGCCACGACATGACACACACACACATCACCACGACATGACACACACACATCACCACGACATGACACACACACACACACATCACCACGACATGACACACACACATCACCACGACATGACACACACACACTGCCACGACATGACACACACACACATCACCACGACATGACACACACACACATCACCACGACATGACACACACACACACACACATCACCACGACATGACACACACACACATCACCACGACATGACACACACACACACACATCACCACGACATGACACACACACACATCACCACGACATGACACACACACATCACCACGACATGACACACACACACATCACCACGACATGACACACACACGTCACCACGACATGACACACACACACATCACCACGACATGACACACACACGTCACCACGACATGACACACACACATCACCACGACATGACACACACACACACATCACCACGACATGACACACACATCACCACGACGTCACAAGGCAGCGAGCGCCGCATGCGAACGCTGCTGTGTGCGTGTGACCCCCCCCCCGCCCCCCTCGATGCCCGAGCCCCCCTCCTCCCATCGCCGTGTTTGGGGCCCAGGAGTGGGGGGGGGGCGCTGTGGGTGCAGGGGACCTGGCTCAATCTCCAGCCGCTCCCGGGACTCGAGGCGGAGGAAGGCAGAGCTGGGACGTCCCCGGCGTCCGCAGTCCCCGCCTCCTGCGACTCGGGGCTCCCCCGCCGCTCGGCGCCGCCCCCCGAAACCCACGCGGCTCCCTCCTCGGCGCCCCCAGGGCTGCTGCTACTGCCGCTGTTGTGGTGAAATGCCCCCAGGGCGCCCAGGGACTGCGGGTCGCGCCGAGGGGGCGGTGCCGGGGGCTCCGAGTCGTCCTCGTCTCCCCCGGGGGAGCTTACCACGGGGAACCCAGCCGCAGCGGCTGCTGCTGGGGCCCACACGGAGAAGCCGCCAACAAGAGCACGTGGAAATGAGAGCCCCCTCCCCCTGTCGCTCGCTGTATAATAGGGCTGAACGATTTGTGGAAAATATCTAACTGAGATTTTTCTGACAGATATTGCGATTGCGATTTGCGATAAAAAAATGTTTTAAGTCAAGCTTCATTTTAATATTGTGTAACAGATTTAAAACACGTGATGGAGCATTACCACGTGATACCATCAAAATATGAACTGCTCTATATATTGTAATGTAAGGACGAGAACTTAAAATATATGAATTGCTTCCAACATATATTTATTAAAATGTTTTAATTGAAATAGAACAATCAAACATAAACAATTGTTAAGTGAAATAAAGTTATAATAATTAAAAATTAAACAATTCCAATAAGAAAGCAATAGGCCTTTTCAAATTGCAAAAAATCGCAGCCTTTGCGATTTGCTAATCGCATTGTTCAAAATTGCGATTTCGATTTTAAATCGATTAATCGTTCAGCCCTCCTGTATAATGAGAATGGTGTGCTGCTGAAGTGATGGTTTCAGGTTGATGTTTTGTTACTGCGTGAGGCTGGTGTGCTGTTGGTATTGAGGTTGTGTGCCGCAGGTGTGAGGTTGGTGTGAGGTCACCTGAAGGTCGCCAGTGGAAAGGATCCTCAGCAGAGCTGTGGAGAGAAGGGTGCGGGGGAGGGTGCATTCACTTTCACCATCAATCTCGATCCGCGGGGAGGCTCAGAGACACCGCGGTGAGATGATGCACGCATGAGTAAAAGCACGTGGGGTCGCTGTAAATCGCCTCACTCGCTTGAGTTTGGAATTCAAATCAGCGCCGCTGCCTTTCGCGCCTGCCATAGACTCTTCAGTTTTACCGAAAGTAGCCCAGCCCAGGGCGATGAGCGAGGCAGTTCTGATTTCTCACGCCGACGGGCCGAGGAGACGTCGCACACAGCTGGCGTTAGCTATCGAGAGCGCAGGCGGTGCAGCTGCACATGGGGCTCACGGCGCAGAATATCCCAGGCGCCAGGATGCCAAGAGCGGAACAATTGTCGGGCGAACGTCGTGGCGGCGTGCGCAGTCTCCGCATGTTTTATTCACGAGAGCGGAGCGCGCAGCTGGCTAGCGGGGGGCTGGGGGGGGGGAGGCGAGTCCCGTCTCGCCCCGCGTCCCCGACTCGGGCCTAGCCACGCGCGCGTGGTGTCCGTGCAAGCGCGCGTGCAGCCGCGTGCACGCACAGCCCCTGACTTCATCATCGTAGCTGCCGCCACCGTGCGCCGCGTCCATCACCACGATCATCGCGAAGCCGACACCGCGCCAACTTCCCGTGGCTGTCTCTCCACATGAACATTTTTTTTAATGTAAACTATTTTTGGCACATCCCATAAGCCACACGGCCTTCCATTTGGGAGAGCATCATGTCCGACAGGATTGGTTTAACAGGAGCAAATTCTGGACCGGTTTCTACATTCAGCATCGCAGCAGTCAGGCGTACTTGAGCCATTGCTGGTGAACTGCCAGATAATTATAGGCAATGATTATAGGTGTCCTGGTTCAACACAATACTATAACTCTCAACAAATCAAAAGTCTAAACGAATACAATCTTTCAACCTTAAATCTAATCATCTGCGTGGTGGCGCATCAAAGTAACGCATGCGAATTAACCACCGTGTAAAATAGCAACAGACAAGGTTCTGTTCCACGAGCCACGCACAGCAGGCACGTGATGTCCATCGTCTTCGGTCGCGCAGGGTCAAGGGGTCATCGTCCCCTAGCAGCTCGTGCTTACGCACGCAGACCAAGGTGGAGACTTTCCGGGTCTCATCAGCAGCGGCGTGGCTGCCCCTTACCTCGCTTTGTGTTTATTGATCGCGCGCTGTACTTTGCGTCCGCTGTTACTCAACAGCGTGATTATCGTGCAGGAAGGCGGCGTACGCAGTCAATGATTGAGACGCCAGTCGGGAGGGGGGCGGAGGGCTGCACGTGGCCTCGTGCGTCAGACCCACAGCTAACGCACGCGTCGCGGGCTCGATGTGGAGCTCATTATACGTAGCTGTGTGTGGTGAGCTGCTGTGTGGTGTGTGGTGAGCTGCTGTGTGGTGTGTGGTGAGCGGCTATGTGGTGCGCTGCTGTGTGGTGAGCTGCTGTGTGGTGTGTGGTGAGCTGCTGTGTGGTGAGCTGCTGTGTGGTGAGCGGCTATGTGGTGTGTGGTGAGCTGCTATGTGGTGTGTGGTGAGCTGGTGTGTGGTGAGCTGCTATGTGGTGTGTGGTGAGCTGCTATGTGGTGTGTGGTGAGCTGCTGTGTGGTGAGCTGCTGTGTGGTGAGCTGCTATGTGGTGTGTGGTGAGCTGCTGTGTGGTGTGTGGTGAGCTGCTATGTGGTGAGCTGCTATGTGGTGTGTGGTGAGCTGCTGTGTGGTGAGCTGCTATGTGGTGTGGTGAGCTGCTGTTTGGTGAGTTGCTGTGTGGTGAGCTGCTGTGTGGTGAGCTGCTGTGTGGTGAGCTGCTGTGTGGTGAGCTGCTATGTGCTGTGTGGTGAGCTGCTGTGTGGTGAGCTGCTGTGTGGTGAGCTGCTGTGTGGTGTGTGGTGAGCTGCTATGTGGTGAGCTGCTGTGTGGTGAGCTCCTGTTTGGTGAGCTGCTGTGTGCTGTGTGGTGAGCTGCTGTGTGGTGAGCTGCTATGTGGTGTGTGGTGAGCTGCTATGTGGTGAGCTGCTATGTGGTGAGCTGCTGTGTGGTGAGCTGCTGTGTGCTGTGTGGTGAGCTCCTGTTTGGTGAGCTGCTGTGTGCTGTGTGGTGAGCTGCTGTGTGGTGAGCTGCTGTGTGGTGAGCTGCTGTGTGGTGAGCTGCTGTGTGGTGTGTGGTGAGCTGCTATGTGGTGTGTGGTGAGCTGCTGTGTGGTGAGCTGCTATGTGGTGTGTGGTGAGCTGCTATGTGCTGCCCCTCCCCCCATCCCTCACCTGACGCTGCTCGCGCTGCCGGCCTCCGACCCGAGGCGGCAGCGCTCGAGCTGCGTGGCCACGCTGTGGTGCTCCGCCTCCAGCTCCCGGGTCAGGCGCTCGAACTGCAGCTCCTGCAGAGGCGCATGCACACAAACACAGATCCCCCGTATAGCCTTGACAGACTGTTGGGGCAAGTGCTGTTAGCGAGCACCTACGAAGGCCGGCACGCCACACGAGGGGGTGGGTGGATAATACCACGCACGGCCGCCTTTGTCTTCCGAGTGGTCGATGTTTACACTTCGCACCAGGTACTCATTTGAGGCCGAGTCGACCTAGAGGAGGCCCAGGGACCGGTTCAGATAATAGTCACTGGCGTTGTCCGTGAGCGGGGACTCAAACTTGGGAAGCCGGGTTGTAGCGCAGAGCGCTAACCGCTACACCACCGCTCCCACACAAATATCCGAACACACACGGCCGTACCGAGACGACATCAGACAGGCGACACGGAGCGAGCGCTATCAGCCTCTCACCGCACCAGCTGAGCTGCGACCCCCCCCGGGGGCCCTGACACCGAGGAGGTCCCAGGTCCCCACCTCAACCCGCGTCAAGTCGAGCCCAGTCCCCATAAAGCTGCGTCCCAAGCCCCCCCACCCCCACCCCACCCTCATCTCGGAGATTTCCGCGGCTCGAAAGGCAGAGGGGGTCGGGCGCCCCTCGGTCTCACGCAATCTCACGGTCACGGGGGAGGGGGCGGGTTGGGTCGAGTGCGAACTCTTCCACCCCCCGCCTCCCCCGTGCCGGAGATTACCGCTCGTTCTCTATGCAAATTAACCAGGGGACGCTCGCATTTACATATCGCTTATACTCGGTGCTACTGCAATTCGTCTCGCGTCCCCCTTCTCTCTCTCTCTCCATCGCCTCCCTCTCCGGCTGTGCACGCGGCGTGGACGGGACGCGCGCACTCTGCAGGAGCGCGGCGCCCGCGGGCTCAGCTCGCCGCGTTCCCTGGAAAATGGAGCCGGGGCCACCCTCGCCATTTGCTCCCCGCGACTGCCACGCGCGCCGCCTGGCAGGTGGCGGGGAACGCACGCCGCTTCGCCGGCAGCGTCATCATCGTCATCAGCAGCAGCAGCAGAGATCATTAAACATTGATGCTGGAGCGGCCCGTGGCGTTGGCTTTTATCCGATAACCACAATTAGCGCGCACTCACGCACCACCATCGCTCCATTCCATTCACAAGGCGTTCCACTCCGGGCTTCACAGGGGCTGCTCCGCGCCGCCAGTAGCGTTCCTAATGCCCCTCCTCGCCACGCGGCGGCATTTCGCGCTCGTATCAGTGCGGCCTCGAGGAAGTCTCCTCCCCCCGCCGTAGGCGCTGGCCCGTGGCACCACGTCTCGGCCCCATGTCCCCCGCGCTCCGCGTGGCTCGCGGTTCGAGCGAATCGTCCATCAGAGGGCCGCCGCGGCCGCAGAGAATCACGCATCGGACGTCACGGCGCACCGCTGTAACCCCGCTTCTCTGCGTTCACTCAGCGCAGTGGCGGCTCACACACTTCTGGCGGGTCTGTCCAGCCTCGGGTGATAACGCGTGCAAGTGGATTCGTGGAGTATCTGGAATGCGATGCCTGCCGCTGCATCCGTCAGCGGGTTGCCGCCTTGCGGGCGCATGCAGTGGCGCACCAATCACCATCACTCGCTTGCCTTCGCGTCCCGACCATGAATCAGTCCGCCTGCACGCGTCACATGAAACCTTCTCGGTCTCCTCGCTGCCACTGAACTCGTGAACACATCGATGACGAGGGAGCGGGGCGGGGGGGGGGAGTTGGGTTCACCCTGCGGCTGGGCGCGTGTGCTACAGCTGTGGAGAGACGAGGAGACGCCCGGCCTCTCCGCGTCCCCAGAGACCTCGCTCAGTTCCCAGCTCGCGAAGGCGGCCCGGCTCCCCTACAGACCAGAGACACTCGCCGGGTTTAAGGCACTTTGAGGACGCAGGAGATTCACACCGCCTCTTTAGCATCCTTGCAGCACGACGCGAGTAAAATTATATATTTTTATTGCACCAAAGGCGATCGTTCTGAAGCCAGCGCCGAGCCATGGCCACGCTGCGCCTGCCACCGATTCCAGGGGTGCTCGGGTGCGTAGCCGTGCCCCCCCCCCCTCGCTTTGCTGGCCAGGCTCGCTACTCCGCTTGAAATGCCCAGCGCGGCAGCTGCAGCGATCGTCTCGAGCCACGAGTCTCTATAAGAGCCAGACGTCTGGATTAGAGTCAGGAGTCTAAGCAATTCTGCCATTGATGGAATGAAACCGTTCTTCATTTGAGGTTTTTTTTCATGAGACGAGAGAACAGCGCGATTCGTTAAGCGTGGGTCCCACCTCGTCCCAACATCGCTCGCGGCACAGGGATCGTGCCGTGGGCCTCGCGGGGACCGCGCGGAGTAGGGAGGCGACAGGAGGAGGCCACGGGCTCCTCCACATCGGCGTTGGGCCGGGCCCTCACCCACCGGCTTCACTCCCCGCTGCGCACGGTGCTCGGGGCTGGTCTCCGCGTCTCGCCCCAGACATTGCTCGAGCCCTGGGTCGTCCGCGCCGAGTCCGCACCCCGTTCCCGCCGGACTCCCGTTGGATCGAGCGCCTCCACTCATCACGCGCGGCTCGGGCGGCGAGGTCACGAGTAATGGCCGTGACCCCGGACTTTCCCCTTCCCCCTTTGAGACCGAATTCGGCACCGGGCTATGGTCGCGCCACCACGCGCGCTCCCGTGCGAGTGCGAAGATTTATTTGAATTGGGATTGAAGCGACGCGAATCGCCGAGGAATGCATTCCCGAAGTGACTTGTTTAAGCAACGGGGAGTGTCCGCGCCATCGCGCGATCGATGCGCAGGGAGGAGGCGCGCGATCGATAGAGCTCCACGGCCCAGAGGTCTCAAGGTCTCACGGCGGCTTCGCTCTCGACGCGGCCGCCGGTCTTTTATGGCTCCGAACGCGGCAGAAATGGATGAGTCTTGGAGAGCGACCCGAAGTTTGCGCCGAGCAGCAGAGTCAACACGCCGGGCTCGTAAGGCGACCCTCAGCCGTGTGCTGTGTGTGCCCGTATGCGTGCACGGGGGGCGAGCGGTGGGCCAGGGGCCCGCCTCAAGGGCGCGGATCATCCCGTCTCGCTCACGCACGATTACGCCGAGTCGCCGTCGACGAGGCGATCGCGTTACACGGCGAGCGAAGAGTCCAGCTGCCGTCCTCGTGAATAATCCACGGCAGGGAAATCCCGCGAGAGCGCGCGCCCATCCCCCGGCTTACGCGAGGCTTTGGGACGCGGCGCGCTCGACCGCTGCGCTGAGCGCGGGGAGTGGAGAGGAGACCACAGGCGTGGCGCCCAGGACTGCCAGTGCGTCCACTCTGCAACCCGAACATTGCCCCCTTACCCATGCCCATCGGTCCCCCTTAGTTTGCAGACGACCCCCACGGTAGCGCCTGTCACTCTCTCCGGCAGGAGCGCTCTACGACGGAACAGTTGTGGAGGCGTCTTGGCCTCCTCCTGCTCATCCTCCTCCTCTAATCCAGCAGCACCTCACGCAAGGCAACTCCATCAGCACCTTTCCAGACGGGGCCGTCGCGTGCCCTCCGGCGGAGCATTGAATAATTGATGAACGTGTTTTTTTTTAAGATGATGTTTGGCCGCGACAGAGGCACGCAAGGCTCCGTCCACGGGTTAGTGGGCTCAGTCCCCCGCGAGTCCCGGACACACCTGCCAATGCAGGGTTTTGCATTGGCAGATTTGGCCAAAGCCGCCATTCGTGAATGCCTGCAATGGGGCAGCACTCAAAAGGTCCACACAGATGGGTTTACGAATCCCACTTGCCGTTCTGCTATTCTTGACCACCTCGCAGTGCAGCCGGATTCGGAGTTTGAGACATTTGTGTGACCCGCCAACCCTTGCCTCCATAGTGCTTGCTCACAAGTGTGGTTCATAATGGCCAACACAGTGGCTGCTGTAACCCCTGAGCAGACACGCGGCGCGGCAATGACCACTTGCGCATCGTGCTGTCCACGCGCCTCTCAGCAGCGTCAATATCTTGGTGGTAGCGTGCTCTCTGAGACCGGCACGCCGCCTGCACCCTGCTGCACGCCGCTGATGCCGCTGCTGCTGATGGTGATGAATGCGGCTTTGCGAGTCTGTCGCCGATCACGTGACCGTGACCCCGAGCGTCGAGTGACGGAGCCGCCGCGTGGGTTCCCTGGGGGCAGCGGGGAGCGGTCATTCTCCCACACGCTGTGACGCACGCACACACGTGTACACACACAGATAAAAAACCCCATATAGCCTTCACATGCTGTTGGGGACAAGTGCTGTTAGCGAGCAGCTAAGAAGGCGGGCATTGTCCACGAGGGGGGTGGGTGGCCAACACCACGCCCGGCCGCCTTTGTCTCCCCAGTGGCGATGTTTACACGTTACACCAGATACTCATGTGAGCCAGAATCGACCTAGGGGAGGCCCAGGACCGTCACTGGTGTTGGTCGTGAGCGGGATTCAAACTCGCTGCTTTCGTAGCGCAGCGCGCGAACCGCTACCCTACCGCCCCCCACACACGCACTTCCACGCACACACACAGACGCACACACAGACGCACACACGCACACGCACGCACACACACAGATGCACACACACGCACACAGACGCACACACACACAACAACAACAACCGCCATTCGCCACTAAGTGGCGGTGACGTCACCACGACGCTTGTGCCAGGTCATATGCACCTTGAGGCCACGTGAAGTGTCGAATGCCCGCTGGCAGGAGGTCACGGGGCAGACCCAGGTGCCACGGGTCGACTGACTGAGATGACTGGCTGATGCACCACCTGTGCCCCCTACTGTGCGAACCTGCTGTGCTTTAGCCACCCGACGCTCCGCTCGTTGTTGTGAGCGTTGCTCCTCTGCCCTCCGTTGTTGTTGGGGGGCGACTGCCTCCAACTGCCCAGTAGTGTCCTTCACGAGCCTCCTCCAAAGAGGCCGATCGTGACACCGCTGGTACCAGTCATCGGCAAGTCCACTCAGCTCCACGTCCTCCTGTACCACATCACTCCATCTCTTCTCTAGCCCGTGCCGCGCCCGTTTAGCCCCCTCGATCCGG